TGAAATCGTGGCGATTGCGCAAAAGACGCGCGATTGTAGCACCGCACTTGATAAGTTACAGTGAGAGCGTGTGCGCGAATGCCCACGCGCGAATGATTATCATGTTCCTTCTTGTGCGGCGTGCGCGCGATGCGAGTCGCGTCTTGGCACAAAAACGCGAATGTTCGCCGCGTCGTGGTCGCCAGCCGTCTTCGTTAAATCATCGTTCGCCTTGTCGTTTGCCCGCACTTTACGTAACAAGTGTAACGTTAACGTGCGTTATGCGTCACTCTTCCGTATGTCTGAACCGCGCGAGAACTGATCGCCTTCGCACCCGACAAATTGATCAACCAACCGCCAAGGTTGCGCCGCGATAATTGCGCGTTTCTTCCGGAAAGTATTACGCATACGGAAAATGAGGGGGAAAAGCCACCGAGCGTTTTCCAGACGACCATTGCAGGGACTACGATCCGCTCCTTCGGGATGCCGCTTCGTCGCGAACTTTGCAAAGTCACTTTCGAGTAGAGTCGCCGGCTTTGAAAATTGAAAAGGTTATACAGCCTTTCGGGAAAACGAATCTGGACGAACGTAGTTTGCAAGGAATATTTTTAATCCAGGACGTTTCTCCACTACCAACTGAACTTTGACGGCCAAACTTGAGCGTCTGGCAACTTTACGTGCGAACATTTCGATTTCGCCAGTCGCGAACTAGGATTCGCATTATCCGTCCAGACCGAACTCTCAGTCGGTCCTCCGTCAAAAGATTCCTCAGCGCTTTTGCACTCGCTGTGTCTGTCACGTCTGAACCGTTTCCCTATTCGAGACAGATTTGACTGTTTGGATGATAGGACTGTGTGAATTTAGCCGCTAGCAGTGGCGATCGATCGCAACGCGCGCGACTGCATCGCTACTCATTTTGATATTACCATCATTATCGAGATTGCTGACACTCGCCATCCCAACGGGTTGCGATCCGCGACTCTCTCTCTCTCTCTCTCTCTCTCTCCTCTCTCTCTCTCTCTCTCTCTCTCTCTCTCTCTCTCTCTCTCTCTCTCTCTCTCTCTCTCTCTCTCTCTCTCTCTCTCTCTCTCTCTCTCTCTTTCTCTTCTCGCCTCTTGCGATTCTCGTGACCCTCGTCAAACGCCAATTTTTCAATTTTGTCTCTTTTGGAGCACGAAGCTCCGGAGCACCGGCCATAGTGGGCGCCTATTTATAGTCAGCGGAGCGAGAGTAAGTGGCACTCGCTCTTGTTGCTTCAATTGTTATCCCTTCCCCTCCGACCCCGATGACCCGAACATCCGGGTAAATGGGGCAGAGGGCGAGTCAAGAATCGGCCGCGGCCGCGCGGGTTATCTCGTCGACATCTTCGGAATAAGGTCATGTTGATTGCGATACGTTCTCCGCGTGTACCATCATCTGGCAAACTCGGCAGCGATCGCGATCGCGATCGCATACGTGCGCCGTTTCGATCGACGTTTCAACCCTGAGGCTCGCACGCTCGTACACACGTCATCCTGCCGTTTCGTAGTCGTCGGGCACTGTCCTATTCTGAGAATCTCGCTCGCTCCGCGCGAAACTTAATCTCACCCCGCCCCGTTCGCGTTGTTCAGTCGAAGCGCCGCATTTTTGTCAGCGATTCGATTATCTCTCTCTCTCTCTCTCTCTCTCTCTTTCTTCCGTGTGGTCTAGCTGAGCTCAAAGTTCGATTTTCTTTATCTCGGTTTTGTTTTTGCAATGCAACCTCCGCGCGCCGGCCGGGGAGTAGAACGCACTTTTGCAGCTCGTGTAGACGATAGCAACGGAGTTTATTATTCGTGAGTCTCGTCGCGACTGCGAGGACGAGAGAAACAAGCATGTGCGAAATATTCTCCCAATGCGTGTTCCCGCAAATTCTGGATGGACCGAATTGCGAGCGTCCTCCGCGAGCGGATGGCAGCTCCGACGTCGCGCGAGACATGGATGGAACACGGTCGAGATGCTCCGACAAACGAGAGACGCCATTGTGCGCGCTCCGGGATCGATAGTCTCGCCAGCCGCTAATGAGACTTTATTCCGGATCTCGACTAAGGTGATCGCGATTGAATCCTGAGACCCATTCTCGCCTTTCATAATTAATAATTCCGTGGATCTCTCCGAGTCTAGCCTGCCGGTTAAAATTGTTGTGCGATCGTCGCTGTATTAGCGAAATAAACGCGTCGCGTGAGATTGTATCGTCGTGATAAATGTGAAATAATCGAGCAAAACAAAGCCTCGTAAATAGCCTCGCTTGCTCCTACAGCGGCCGTTGTTTCTCCTTCTTTTTTTTTTTCAACACATGTTTTGTTCAGAAATATTACGCCGCAGGTACAAATTGCTGTATAGCTGCTCTTAACCCCTTGACATACAAATAAAACGGAATTTGATGCGTTTGAATAATACTATTTAATTTGGCTCAGCTGAACAGTTATGTGTAAGCTTAGAAACAGAACATTTTATTTGGAAATTTGCATTGCTATATAACATTTAATCAGGTTGATATATTATATTAATGGACAATAATTAAGTAACATTATAATGAGCATTTGAAACAAAACAGAATCGACGCACGATTCTTGGCGTCCGCCGGAGACAGTTCTTGACGTCTCGGAAACGTCAAAGTCTACGATGACACATGAAATGAATGACGTCTCCCAGACGTCATTATATGTCAAGGGGTTAATATTCTTTACTCTTGAACATTATATCAAATAACTTGATAAAATAACTTGACAAAAAAATTGAAAACTCGTGGCTCTTAATGGTTGGAGCGGAAAAATTACTTTGAAAGCAAACAGAAATTATAAAAAGATTAGCAGATTATTTTTATAATTATAATATATTTTTATAATTTATAAATTACCATGTTTAACGGTTTCAGCTTAATATACTCGATTTGAGTTTGCGTTTGTCGGTTGATTTGTGCGCACATATTTTGCAGTGAAAGAGAAAATAGACTCAAAGTTCGTCGCCACTCGTCAACTTCTTATCGTTTTAGAGCTGTCGAAAAAAATTATAAAACCAGAAGGTCAATGATCTTTCGGCGGTTAAAGAGACGAGAGAAGCTTCTAGCGAACTGATGTGAAAATGAATATCGCAACGAACTATTATGGTCACGTTGCAGCGTTTATCGCGCAGTGGGCGTCGACACGCGGAGATTACCGAGGTAATGTCTTCTCTCGATGTCTGCCTTTTTAAAGAAAATATCCCGAGCACTCGGCGCGTGGAACATTACCTGCCTCTGCGCTATTTGTCGGGTCGGCGATCCGCAAAGAACATTCACGTTAATTATTTTGCCCCTGTAGAGATATACTCGGCCTCCGTGTCCAACTAATAGCTATAACGCACCAACACACACACACGCACACGTATATAGATCACACGCACACATACACACAGCGTACATAACGTAGAAGATTGATTCAATTACTCGATCGTGTAAACGTTGCAATTCGTCGAAAATGAACATCCAGGCGATTTTATGCTCTTGATCGTTTGTCATAGTTGAAAAGGTTGACTATGTCTGTGAGAGAGAAAGAGAGAGACAGTTATTTTTCTTGGCGGACTGTCAAAGTCTCGATAAGAGATATCTGTACCGTTAAAGCTTACAGTCGGCGGTTGAGAGGACAATGATATATGGAGCATACAGAAGGAGGATCCATTATTTGTGAAATCTACTCTTATTACAAAGTTGCGCGTCTAAGGAGAAATTTATGTATTACGGATTGAATGCACTCTTTATACACGAATGATTGATGATCCTTGTAATAATACTCTTTTCGGTGTACTATGATGACATACTAGATGATGTACTATGAATGTACGCGAGAGTGGAAAACATTCGAATGAAAGTATTTTCTTTATGCCTTTCGGTATTTCTTATTGGCGTCAGACTGAGCTTGCATTTATTTTTTTATTAAAATCGTTATCAGCGGTATATTGTAATAGCAGTAATAATCAAAGCCTAAAGTCGTCTACTACTCCTTCTTGTAAAATATCAATAACTGAGCGAGTCGCTTAATGGCTGAACCGAGATTATTTCTTTTATCGTGAAGTTTTACGGACAAACATTTTTAACGTAATCTTCTTCAAAAAGATTATATAATCAGATATATTCTTTTTATAAAGATACTAAAATATGTGTTGTGTGTCTGTACATAGAGAGAACAATTTAGTTGAATTTAACAAATGCTTATTTGGCATAGTCCAAATAAATTTTTTGATTGATCGAACGAAGTTTTGTTTGACGCAACAAAAATATTTTGTTGCAGCTTAGTTCCAACGAAATGTTTCTGTTGCGTCAAATAAAATTTTGTTCGATCAATCAAAAAATTTATTTCGACTATTCCAAATAAGCATTTATTATATTCAATTAAATCGTTCTCTCTATGTAGCCGCACAATAATTAAATTCTTCTCGAGCGGCTCAGTGGTCTAGGGGTATGATTCTCGCTTTGGGTGCGAGAGGTCCCGGGTTCAAATCCCGGCTGAGCCCGGTTTTTTTTTCTTTTTTTTTTTCCCTTTACGTCGCAAATTTTTAGCAACAGACTTTGAATGTAATCTTTGTGAAGAAGAAGTCCGAATATAAATTTTTTTTATAAAGATGATAAAATATTTATTTTGTATAGACGCACAATAATTGTCTTTTTCTCAAGTGGCTCAGTGGTCTAGGGGTATGATTCTCGCTTTGGGTGCGAGAGGTCCCGGGTTCAAATCCCGGCTGAGCCCAACTTTTTTTCGTTTCTTGCAAAGTTGAATTAATTTTTCGATTGTTATTTGTAATAGAATCGTGTTAGTATTTTTTTTATTCATCATAGACTGCACGATTTATCATAGATTGCGCAATTTATTTACAAGATAACGCGTATCTCCTTTTAGAAACCAACAGAAAGCGCGGTTCACGGGAATTTGAAGCCACCCCACTTAACGGATAATCGTTCGTCCGCGCAATTTTCCCGGGAAGCCTTCATTATAGCTGCGTCATTAGTCTTTCTCCGATTGTTACAGGACTGGCAGCATGGCGGCCGAGGAAGGAATGTTGGGCGGCGGCCTGGGCTCGAAACTGAAATGTCCGACCCCTATATCGCGGTTAAGAGTAGAGAAGATCGAGGGTGGCCTGATGGTGGCTGGCGTAGTGATAGCCGCAAACTGTCAGATCGCTCTACCGGCGTTCGGATTTCTCTTTATGCTCGTCGGCGCCGTACTCACTGGTTCGTACTTAATGTTTCCTTATGAGATATCCGCCGTAAATTTGCGGACAAAAACGGAGAATGTCGCATTTTTGCAAGACTCCGTATCGCGATATGTATACTTGTGCTTTGGTCTCTACGAGTACATCAAGCAGCAGCTGCTGCTGCCTCTCTTTATCGCGTAACATCAGCCGAAGAGAAGAGAATTGTCTAGGACGCAGAGACAAACATACTTTACAGTTTCACTCATGAGAGGTGAAGCTACTGCTTGTCGTGCTACACACTCTGTATCCAGAGCACCGCTTTCAAATTCGCCAAGTTTCACAAACATTGTACTTTGAAAGCACATTCCGCAAACACAAAAGCGGCGGCGTCCCCGAGATATCATTATACTTCTTCATAAAGCGCTCACGTCGCACGGCGGAGCCCGTAAAAAACATTTTCTCTGCAGTCACGGTGCAGTTGCGTTTCAGCCGCGCGTTCGGCGCGTCGAACGTGTCTCTCATTTCGTAGATGTTGTACGTCCTTTCCATCGGGTAAATAAAACTGGGCGCCCCCAATGGGCTGACGCGCTCGCTCGCACAAAAATGCAGCGGAAATGTCAGCGCGGACTCGGCGGACGCGCTCTCTCGAAACGCGATAAATACGGCTTGCTTTTCTCTCTCTCTCTCTCTCTCTCTCTCGCTCTCGCTCTCGCTCTCGCTCTCGCTCTCGCGAGCCCTTGTACGACTTCCCGTTGCGGAGAATTTTAATCGCGTAATGCACAATTTTTATAATTAGATGCGCGCTCTCGTATAAATTGTCACGTTGCACATAGACACACGTACAACGGTCACGTCTGTCAGTCGGGCGAACGGGTCTCGTGAATATTCACGAGTCCTATGCGTAATATCCTTTTTTATTCGTCCTCTGCGGCGTTATCTCGTTACGCGTCGTTTGCATTCGCATTTGCATCTCACGATCGGACCCGCAAAATTCGCGCCGGCTACCGCTCGGAGAGTGGTTTCAATTTCGTCGAACCAGCATCATCGACGGTGGGGACGAGCTTCAAGGCGTGTTCACCCCGTCCCAAGCCGTTGTAAAGTTCGGAAAACGCCGGATTTCGGAGACCTGTCTTCGACATTCGACATTCGACGTGCAGCTTACCGTCGATTATTCGCGAATTTCGACCGCTCGTCCACCTGTGCTCGCCGAGAGCGTCCGCGCGCAACTAGAGTGATACATTGCCTCGCTGATTGGTGTAATTTGAAGCTTTCCATTTCAGAGAAAGCACAGACTCTATAATCGTACGTGGGCCGCTTAGAAAGGGGAATCGATATTTATATCGAGACGAGGGAGACCGTAATGACTCATTAGCGCTCAACGAGAAAGTGCTTGTCTCTTCCGTTCTGTTTTGTCGCGACCAATCGCAACCTGGTTTATCATCATTGTTATTTCATTCAAGTAGATTCATTCTCCCTTTTATTTTCGTCACGATGAAATAATTTCCACCCCGGGGATAACACATCGAAACATGCGCGATATTTTTTATTCGCGTTGCTTCACGATATTCCTCGGGATAAAATGCGACTCGTGTCGGAGACGAATTGTCAATAGCCGACGTAACGAACGGATAACGCGTAAGCCGGCATTCCTCGTACTATTAATCGGACTGAAGCCTTCGCTGACATGTTATAAGCGGATTAATTACATAGGAAAGGAAGCCGTATTCGTCAAGCCGAAGCGCAATAACGGACCGCGCGAAAATATCTGATATTTGGAAAACCGTCGCGTCGTGTATCACGGATATGCCGCAAACTGCGTCGATCTCATTGTCGCTGATTGATCAGATGTCGCGATCGGACAGAACTAGCTGCTCCGTTTCCATTTCGGAAATCTTGTCGTCCCAACACGAACGAGTATCATTATTGACCTGACCGCGTTGTTTTACAATTTACGTTCCTACTAGTTTCATCGCTAATCATGCTCTTACCGGTTTGCGTTATCCGGCAATATCGCGCGAAACTGTTTATCACAGCTCACGTGAAACCATCGAGCCCCGACGACGTTAATGTTCGATAATAATACACGAGGACTCTTCTCTCTCGGCGAGAGCGGCGGATTTATATCCGCGCGCGAGAGACCTTCGGAGACCTCGAAGGCGCGCGCTTCCCGCCTCTCCCGTTGAATTAATTTGAGAGCCGCTATAGAGTTCGTTTGTCGCGGCCATTGACCTCGCGGAGAGATAGCACCATAGATACGGCTTTCGTATCTGCGAGAGGCAAGAAGACAGACACGGCGACGGTGAGGAGGAGAAGGAGGCGCGAGAGAAAAGGCCCGCGCGAGCCGAGAGAGCAACAGCTGGCCCTTCGCAAACGCCGTCACTTCTCGGGCCGCTTCTTCGTGTATACGCGGTCTGCCGGCTGTTGTTACCAACCGATTTATCAAAAACCGGTCGCTCGATCGGTTCTTTCTTCCTCCCTCCTCTCTCTCTCCCTCTCTCTCTCTCTCTCTCTCTCTCTCTCTCTCTCTCCTCCGCTGTTTGCCATCACGCTTTTCTGCCGGCCTGCCTGCCGTCGCCGTGCCAAGACCGGTTTCTGTAGTCCATTTCCCTTTCGTTATTTCTAACCCTGCTTTCGTCTCTCTTCCTCTGAGATACTCTAGATATCTTCCCTCCTTCCGCCACTGTTTGTCGCTCACTTGAACCACGTTAATGTCTTTGACGCGGCCGCTTATCGCGCTCGGGTCTCACCGGAGGCTCCTGTCCGTTGATTACACAGGCTCGACGGATCGAAGTCGCGCGAGGGTGCGTGTCACCGTTGGAAATTTCGTGGAAATCATTTGCGCGACTGTACGTTCCTCTGAAATCGGTGGTTTTTCGAGCGGCGAGAGAGGGAAGCAGGATCTCGCACGCTGTTTGCGCGGTTTATCGATGTTGTTCGCGGGGAGAGAGAGAGAGAGAGAGAGAGAGAGAGAGAGAGAGAGAGAGAGAGAGAGAGAGAGAGAGAGAGAGAGAGAGAGAGGGCGGGGGAGAGGGAGAGAGAGAGGGAGGGAGAAAGCGAGTGAGAGGCGAGAGACTGCGAGAGGAAGTCCGCCGAATCTGCGCATGCCGACGTTGCGAAGCGTTTCGCCGGAGTTATCGATTAAAATATGCTCGAAGGCGAACTCCGCCGCCGAGGCCCCGCTTGTATTTACGCGCTGTAATTTCCACGTCTCGTTTACGAAGCCGTGTCTTCTCTCGAAATATACCGCGAGGCTGCGACTCCTCTGCACCACCCTCCCCGGTTTTCGCAAAGATAAGCGAGGAAGGAAGGGAAAAAAGGCAGAGGAGAAAGAAAGAAACATCCTACGCGATTTTCTCCCTTCGAGACAACATAAAATTGTCCGTCGCGAAAGTTTCCTCGCTGTGTGTTGCGGCCTCACAGCCGGAGCCGATAGTTGGAAACCTGCTCGAGGCCTGTCGAAGCAATGCGATTACAAAGTCCCCCGCCGAGTGCGGAACGATTTTGCGGCATTGCGCGGAAGACACGCGAATGGAGCGTAAAGCTTCACTTAGCGAGCTCCTCGGAGCTTGACTCCCATCAAAGTCGATCGTTCAAACAATGTGGCTGTCGCTCAGCGACTCTCACGAGCGTATACGTACGTTTCATTCTTGCAACGTCTGACGACGTGCAGCCACTTTATCGCCCGGTTGATCAGTCGCTCGTCTCCATCGGAGACGTGACGAAGAATCACTTTGCGGAGCGAATCATCTCGCAAAATCGCGCCTGAGATTGTCGGCCGGTCGGGGTAAAACGATCGAGTTCTTTCGATGTTCCATGTCGAGAAGGTACGTCGAGAACGAACTATAATATAATTGTAAATAATATAAAGATAATGCTGCTCGTGCGATTTCCTCCCTCTCTCTCGCTCTCGCTCCCGCTCCCGTTAACGACCGCTCGTTTCTCTCTGTTGCAGCTGCTTCGTACCGAGGCCCGGGCGAGGACGAGGACAAGAACTCGTACGCCGCACGAATCGCCTTTACCGGCAATTCCCGCATTCTAGGGCCGATCTGCATAGTCGTGGGTGCCCTTATGCTAGCGCTCGGAGTGTTGCTCTGCATGTTAACGAGAAGGGCCAGGCGGAGGGAGCGCAGGGTGGGCTTTCACTGTCCGCTCCACGGGGACTTTTATCCTCTAAGTCCGGTCCAAGGTATCAAAATGCTCGGTAAGTACATTTGAACGAGAGGCGCGGTTCAACCTCTTGCGAATAAATATTTACGTTGCGAAATAGAGCGACAAGTGAAGACGTGTAGAGAGACATCGGGTGAAAAGACCTTTTGGTCAAGTTACGCAAACTCCCTTGGGCGAGCCGAGTCGATTGGGCGACCTGACGCGAAAATTTGATCCGATAAAAACGTAACACGATAATGCATCGGATTAATTTTGAGCCAAACTAAATTTGAAGTTTTTTTTCCTTTTTTTCTGAAACGGGTGACAAGAAGAAATTGGCTGAGAGAAATAGAGGGCGGTTGGTTTCGCCACGCACAACCCTGAAATTGAGTTCGTTTAACCCACTTCCAGCTGCTTTGACCGAACCTTTTTTTTTTCTCTCTTTTAGAATACAAGTACTCGAGGGATACATGCGTGGCAGATTGGAGACTATATTTTTATAAAGGTTTGATTCCGCAGTTGAGGCTCGAAAGTGTGCAAGCTCGTATCAAATTCCCCGCGAAATCGCAGTTGTTTTTTTTTTTAGGAACGTTACTCGTGAACATCGCAGTCTGAGCAGACGCGTCCGCGTTGCTTTTCTTTTTTCCTAGAGTTCACGATCCGCGCACGCAATTATTATTCCTACGCGGGACGGACGCGTTGGACCGTCATTTCGATAATACTTCTTTCAAAAAGTTCGAGAGACGATCCCGACCGAGTCGTCTCGCCACGCAACGGCCATTATCGTCGTGTCACGCGATGCCATTACACCTTCTGCGTTATCTCGCCCAAATTATGCTCAAGTGCTGGAATTCGCAGCGAACGATAATTGCCAAGTCATCGCCAAAGCCGTCCTTTCTCCTCGTCTCGCGATTGAATTGCTGCTGCTCCTGGCGGCCATTTCTCCCGGTCTCATTCTCTATCGGACATATCCGGAATCAAGTATTGGCTAAGTGCAAAAGTTTCGGCGGCTCTCTCGAAGATTCGATCTCCAGTTCCAATTTGATGCGGGTGTGTATAATATACCAAATAAAGTAATAACAGGAGGAGACAATGATTACTCGGTGAAATAAGAACATATCGATTTCTAACGATAGAAATATGTTCGGTTGGATGAAAGAGTTTTCTGGTGAAATGTCAACAGAAATTCCGATTCAAGTTGCCAAAACTCAGTCTATAAATTATCAAGATTTCTGTTTTCAAGCGGAATTTCTGAATGACTTTGTCTCATTCCCGACTAGAAATTTATCCCATGGTCCTGATCAGGTTAACCTCATTTGGACATCAGGTTCCAATAAGGTAATATTATCGGGTCTTAGTAAGTCATGTAACGCAGCATGGATATCAGGATCTTAGTAAGGATTCATAGTCAGGTCCTTATTGAGTTACCTTATGGAATCCTTATTACGTTTTTTTTTTTTTTTTCAAATTATGGCTCCTGATTACTCACCACGGCTATATTGGATGATGACATTAGAAATAAGAAATGACACGCTGAAAATTCTTTCATATCATTTCCAAATAAAAATATATTTGCATGAAATAATATTTTAGATCGCTTGAGCGTACTTGTAAAATGTTTCGGAAAAGAAACATAAAATTAATATCATTAAGTATCACAAGGTGACAAGTAAGTAGTGTTAAAGTAGTGTTAAAGAGAAAAGTTGCATGTCACGTTAATTTTATAACTATTTATTGACTGCTAAATAAAGGATAGTTTCTATAGCATTTTACAAATATATTTAAGTGATCTGAAGTGTTTTTTCAATGCAAACATCTTTATATTTGGAAATGATACCCAAAAATTGTTTTATTAAAACTTGATAATGCAAATCATATCAGGTACAATGAATAAGATCCCGGCAAGGACCTGATTAACTGAACCATATTATATCATACACTAGGTTGGTACATTAAGGTCCTAATGTGGACCCAATCATTATAACCTTATAAAGGTTATTCATTTCATCATCGTTAGGACATTATAAGGACTGACTTACTCAGGATTACCTTTCATTCACCCTATTAGGTCCTTGTCAATATTAGGTGAACCTGATCAAAATTTTTAGTCGGATTAGAAAATTGGTTTATCCGACTAAACATTTCTCTCCATGCGATATCTTATTCCGAGTGCGAAGGATAAAAACTCGTTTCCTTCGCGTATGGACCTCACGTAGTTTTCGCTGGAGAATCGGCAAGACATGTTTCACGCGTAGTTATGCTCGCGTTCAGACTGCGAGACTTGATAGCCGCAAATCTCCACGGGAGAGAACAAGCGACGTGTCAATTGCGCTAACCGCATCGAGATACCGCCGATAATCGAGCCAAAGCGATCGCGAGAACGAGTTTACTAGTCATTCCGGCGGCTTTTACGACTTCGCCGCGAAACCGTCTTAGGAGACGCACTCGCCGATAGGTTATACTTGACGATCGCGCGCGAGCGTGCCAGTTCGTATCAATTGCTTCGAATTCAGGACGAGGCTGGATCAGGGGCTAGGAGTAGTGGTTGTGGCGGTGGCGGTGGCTGATGGTAGGGTAGCAGCTGACTGGATTGTCGGAATTCAGGCTAATACGATGAGATTATTGCGTGGGCTGAATGTGCGCGCGTTGCGAATCCTACGAGTTTCCGCGTTCCCGGGCGGCCGCGAGACCGCCTCGGATGTCGCGCACGTTGAGGACGAGAGTTTCTCTCTTTCGATGTCACCTCGGCTTAATCGCCGCTCTTCGGAGAGTCGTGGGAGGAGAGCTTTTCTTCTCTCCGGCCGCCCGAGACTTTTCGTGACTTTTCGAGGAGCACGCGGCGTGAAAAATGCACGTGCGAAGCGCCGAGCGTGTGTTCGGAAAACGCGGACAATATTGAACGATTAAATATTGAGCTGCAGAGTCGTTTATTTTTCCTCGATCGATGGGCGCCGCGGGTGAGACTTAAATTTTTCAAGTAGCGCTTGCACTCGATATCAAAGTTTCAAGCCGCTCGGGGAATTCACGACTCGCGCACACGTATACATCTCTCGGACGGGGACACGAATTCCTGAGGGAGTCGTCGCCGTGGCGACGACGTATTGCGCGTGTGACAGTCTCTCCGTAGGCAAACCGGGCGAGCGTAATAAAAATAGTGCGCCGCTCATTTCTGCCGCGCTCCGAAACATTTTTCAACTCGAGTTTTCTCCACTGATATTTTTGCGCCTCTTTTTCGCCGAGAAAGTCGGCGGATCCGCTCCGTTTTCGGCAGAGCTTGTCGCTTCTTCGAGTCGCCAGTCACGGTTGATAATCTTCTAAAAGAAGCGATTGCGTTTTCCGCGGGGGTAAGGACGAATGCGTGGTGCGTGGCCGCACTTTACGACAAAACGACGAAATTGCGTCCGGCTCCGCGAAGCGTGGATAAACACCGCTCGTCTCGCGGAAGGAGCATCGCGAAAAAACACGCACGACTCAGGGCCTACCTGGTGGTACACAATCCGGAGCGGCGGCATGGAAAGCGTGACCGGCTAGGCTAACCGTGAGAAAATGCGACGAAACGAAAGAAAAAGTGCGAACATCACTTTGGATACTTGACGGCGATGCGAGAATCACCGGGAATACCGGAAGAGCAAAAATTTTGGCGAGTTTCTCAATAATACGACTAATTCAGTTTTATAGCGGCATTCGCGAATGTATCAAAGGTAACAGAAAACAATTAGCTGGTGGAACGCGAGAATGAATCGCCCTCGATAAAATTATACTTTACCTCTCCGATGAGAGCCATCGAAACTTTTGCACTCACTCGATAAGCGAGCTCGACATTCATTTCAGTTTCAAGATAGTCTTTCTCTCTCTCTCTCTCTCTCTCTCTCTCTCTCTCTCTCTCTCTCTCTCTCTCTCTCTCTGCGTTAAGACTGTGGCATGAGTTTGCCGTATCCGGTACTAACACGCGATATCTCCGCGTGGAACATCTACGCTTCGACAAATTCATCTGTTCGCCGTCGATGACAGAGAAACTCGATAAATTCCATCTGCATTCGCTCTCGCCGAGTATGACACGGCGATAAGTTGGTATACGCAATTCTACCTACGAGAACGAGTCTCCGTCTCCGACGATGCGTGAGATTCCGTCACGAGAGACTCTCTCGCGCCCGATGATTTTCTCCAATCCTTTTCCCGTCCCCCTCGTCCTCCTCGTCATCGACGGAAGCGAGGCGGAAAAGTGGCGCCGGGCATTCGGCCGAATCGGACGACTTAGCGCGACTTAGCTGACAGGTTGTCTCGATCTAAATGCAAATCCGCGAGCCGCGTATCGCCGGCTCGCTCGCCCTCCTCTCCCACGCGACGTGGCTCTCCGTTTTGCGGGGGTTGCAGCATCAGAACAGCGAGTCGAGGTCATGCGGGGTGTAGAGAGGGCGGCTCTCTTCTATATATTAATGTTCCTCCGCATAGAATGAATCAGAAGAAACGATGATGAATACCAGCCGAGTACTCGAGTCCTTCGGACATCAACATGTTGAAGCGTCCGTGATGTCGACCCGTGCTTAAGAACGCAATCAATTGTGCGAATACCCACAGCGTTGACTTGAGCGTCGAGCTAGCCAGTGGAAGTCAGAGATGGAACCTGGAATCGACAGCACCGTCCTTGATTTTTCCCTTAGCGCGCCGCGTGAAAAAGAATCGGACGATCGGCCGAGCGGAAAGCGCCGAGGCCGCCTTGGGAGGAGGATCCGTCCGCGCGACGACGTCGACGAGGTCGCCAACGGCGGCGGGCTGCCGTGCGCGCGACACAGCGTCATTGAACGTCGTCCACGGCGGCGTTCAGCAATGACATTAGCGAGCTGTTGTACGGGACGCGAATTGGGTCGCGCGCGGGGCTCCTCCCGAGGTCCATGACATCTGTTGCCCTCGATCCTCCTCCTTTTCCTCCTCCCCCTCCTACATCCGTGCTCCTCCTCTCCACCCTCGTCGCCGGATGTGGGTCTTCTCCATTTTAACCCCTTTCTGTCCGCCCCTTTCAACGCTATGTACGCTACGGCGACACCAGCCGCGCCGTGGCCGTCGCTTAACGTCGTTACCGTGAGCGCCCTTCGTCTAATCGCATCTCGTCGACTACGCTATTTTACGAGCGAAGTCGCTCGTCCAAAGTGACTGCTGGCGAACAAGATGAATGCGGCCTTTATACGCACACACGTGTACGTAGACGCGCAGACGGACTCGCGCGTCCGGGGGAGGGAGGCTCGGCTGGGAAACGCTTGATTTGTGATTCCATTAGGTGACCCGAGTCCATTCTATTAGGTGACTATTAGATGTTATCGCCTCGATTCCCCATTTCCCTATTTTTTCTACGCCTTTTCATGTTTCATATCGCGCGGTCTAGCCTAGTACGTCTATCCCATATATTATGTGCGAATCGATTATCCGAGAAAGAGAAAGAGAGAGAGAAGGGGGGGGGGATGGAAGACAGAAAGAACGCAAAAACTTTATCTCTCTGGGAAGACCGATGGGAAGAGATCAGCTGGACCGATAGAAACCTTTTACGCGATTCCCACGATCGCCATTCTTCACCGCGAACATCGTCCTTGTCGCGAAGAACACCTCGTCGATGAAGAACACCTGTGTGTCGCGCGGCGTCGCGATATTCGCGATGCAGCCGGACTGACGTTTTTTTTCATCGTTGTTAGCACTCTAAGCGCGTCTGGAGCGCCAGATGTTGCGCTCTCGTGCCCACGGAGCGTGCATAAATGCGAGTCGATCAATTCTTCTTTCCCCCTTCCCTCGTGTCCCGCCGCCCACACATCCACCCACGTGACGGCTCAGGGAGCTCACAGTCCGGCTTCCCTCGGTTCTTCGGCCGACGAGGCGATTTTCCGCCGTCGACAAGCGACGCGACGTCTCGAAAAGCGACGACACGACGCGTCGGGCTTCGCACGACGTTCCCGCCGCGACGGTAACGATGTTCGCTTAATTTTCCATCGACCGCAATTGGACATCTCTCTTCGGGAATTGAACTCGGAAAAGCGCGGAAAGCGCCAGAGTAGCTTATTCTTGGCTCCGCGGTTCGGCATTCGTCCGGCATTTCAGTCGGAGAATCGGGGACAACGCGAATCCCCGGTCGATGCAGATCTCTCATCGAGGGGTCCGACGACGAAATCCCCGGAGGTTGAAAAGTCCGAATCAGGCCAATTGAATACACGTAAATATGGAACTTTGCATTCTCGTGAATCGCATCTCGGGATACTGTTTTTTTTTTCAATTTTGTAACGTCCCTTTGGAGATTAGTGTTAATCACGCGTGCGTGTAATTAAACAAACGTCACGCTGACATATTAATTGCAACATCTCAATTAAATTGCCGCACGCGTGTGTGTTATATTACGTTATACGCGTTGAGCGGGATAAAATTCATAACTTATGTCAGATTATGCGAGGGCGCCCGCGCCGCGATAACGGCGTTATGTTGATAAGACGTAATACGTTTCATCCGCGGATGATCCGCGATTAATATCGAATAATGAAGAAGCCTGAGACGCGCGTTCGGGCGCCTTCTCTCGCGACGCGAAGGTACTGGAACAATTTCCTCGCAAGTGATGCTATGAAATCCGCGATTAACCCAATTTATTCGGACAAGCTTGAATAATCGGGTGATCGTAGGAATCAAATTAAAAAGTCAGATAGCGATTCGTGTCGGCGCGCTCCAGGTCGACGATAAACAAATTGAAAAATTACGAGCATTTCGCGTGACGCCCATTCGAGAGACAATGAGCCCGAGAGCTTGAGAAACTCCAATCTGCGATATCGCGTTTTCGCGGACGACTCTCGACAATTTTCCAGACCCGTCGATGGTCGTTGGCGAGAGGATGATGCGTTGGCAGCACGCGTCGCTCGCGTGCAATCCGCCAAAATCCGACGAGATATATCATTTCGTCGGAAGGTCAGGCTATTATGCGCTCTTGGGGTAGTGCCGCGTAGCCTACCCTCGGTAACGTGGTCGGATAACCGGGGTGATTAATACGATATAACGACAAGCTAGCTGGTAGATTTAGTCTCTCTCTCTCTCTCTCTCTCTCTCTCTCTCTCTCTCTCTCTCTCTCTCTCTCTCTCTCTCAGTCTTCACTAAATGCGGCACGACCTGATTTCGGCAGTGCCCGGTCAGCCAATTAAGCAACAATCGTCCTTGGCCAAAGCGTTATTCTCCTCGATGTTTGTCTCGGGTATTCTCCTTTCCGCCGACCTGCCCCGGTAAACGGCGATTTTATTAAAACGGAGCTGTAACGGTACGCGACAAGAACGGACTCGCGTAACGTTCTTTACATCTTACTTCTTCGATTCGAGCGACAAGGAGAGACGAGAGAGAGAGAGGGAGGGAGAGAGAGAGAGAGAGAGGGAGGGAGAGAGAGAGAGAGAGAGAGAGAGAGAGAGAGAGAGAGAGAGAGAGAGAGAGAGAGAGAGAGAGAGAGAGAGAGAAGGACCGAGATATATATATATATATATATATCTGTTATTTGTTTTCTTCAGTACGTCTGTTTTTTTCCAGTCTCTCGCACGAACAATGGAAAGCAGCGCGACCGTGAACGCGCGTCGACTGACGGACGCGTTTTCTTTGCCCCTCGTCTATTGGCTGCTCCAGCCTCAAACGCAAACATCGCCATGTTTGTTGCAGGGGTATCCGGCAAGGACGTGAGCGGGTGGCCGAAGATTCCGTGTCTGAAGGGCCGCGCGTCCAACAAGGGCGGAAGTGGCGCCGGAGGAGCGCACGCAGGCCCGCCGCAGTGTCCGCACTCCGTTCTAAGCAGCACTCGCAGCTCCGTCAGCAGCTCGCCTTTGAGCCCGTGTCCGACGCCCATGCCCTTCCTGGTGACTTCGGGCTCTGTCAGGTGAGAGCGGAGTGGAGGAACTCGCGCGGTAGTCGCTCTAGGCAAAGACAACGAGGCGCCTTAATACCGAAAGTCAATTTGCGCCGCGCTCTCAGAGTTGAACGAGACCAGCGAAGCTGGTGAGGAGTCGTGAACTTTGAACTGTGTTATCACTGAGAATATGAAGCCCTTGACTGGCGGGAACGCAAACTGCATTTTGTGTGCGATACTTTGGGTTGCTGAATACTTGTCTGAAATTCAGAGCACTTCGGAGTCGGCAGTCGGAGGTTCCCCAGGTCGCTCTATTCAATAGTAAAGTTCAAAGTTCAAGGTGGCGCGTGTGCAGTACGTCCGGCCTAAATGTGAGTTTTACAAAAACGTTGGAGTGCATTTTGCGCTTTTTAAATACCACCTATGTGTAGTCGTAATAAATTATATTTGTTCGTTATCTCGGTATTTTTTTACTTTACAGATTTGAGATGAAAATTTTACTTCACGTTTTCACTATTTAACTTTTTTTTCGTGATACACGCGCGGTTTTATTTTGATGAAGTAGAATTACGATTTTAATTACCGTGTTCGGTCTATCATTTTAAATTTGAAAAGTGGTGAACTTTATACCCGTAAAGCGACCTCAAAAAGCCGCTCTAAACACAACATTTTAATAACCACTCAACTTTGGAAAATGTATTATTAGCTTTGGCACTTTTGCGAAATTCAGTTTGCCAGTCGAGGGATTAATCGCCACGCACACGCAGGGTAGCATTTCGCGGCATTGTCGGACGGGCGAATTAAAGACTCCATCGAGCTGTCCCTTTGTTTCCCTGAGCTTTTTAATTGAGATGCCGTCTCGTTTCGTGTTGCAAATCCGAGTCGCACTCTCGCGTGGATAACGTGAACGTTGTCTTCCTCCTTTTTTCGACATAAAAACGACATCGACTGCCGCTCGCGTAAAGGCCGCGACCGCTAAAAATAAGTCTGTCCGTCTTTATACATATTTCACCGGACGCTATATCCAGCCTCGCGACGAACATAGAGCCAGCAAGTGTAACGCAAGTCGTGCAAGGTTTATAGTCCAGGCTAGTCAATGTACGCTTGAATTCGTCGACGCTGACCCGTCGTAATTTCCTGCGAATGTGCGTCGGTATCGATTCTCGAGATGCCTTCGGTAAATGAAAATTTCAGCGTCCCCGACGGCCCGCGTGCAGACTTTACCTTCTCCGATCTCGATCAAATTTTTCCCTCCTACTGGAAGAGAAACCCGACAAGAAGAAGAATCGTTAGTCTCGGCGTTAGGCAGCGCTCGCTCGACGACGTAACTTTGCAACGAAACGATCGTTATATCACACATTGAGAAAAAATTGTATTAAAATTAAAATTAAAAAATTGTATTAAAACTAAACAAATATTTGTATCAAATTCGAATACGACTGTGAATACAGTTACATGATTTAAGCAATTATTTTCTAAAATTCAAGAAAAAAGTTTATATTCAGAACCTCTGTATTTCATTTTAGAAATTAGGCGCTTAATTTGAATAAATGTATTCACACACTAGGAAAAAAAATTTAGTATCTCTAACAAAACTGTTTAGTTGAGGCTATTTTTTAATAGCAATCAAATATCTTGTTTTATATAACAAAATATTTAGTTGTCTCAACTAAATATATTTTTCTACTTTGTTCTCTGGACCAAATAATTTTGTTCTTAGACTTCATATATAAAAATTAAGCCTTCTAGTTATTTTATCCACAAAAATTACATAATAACGAAATATTATTTTATATAAACTAAAATAATGCTCAATGGATACTATTTTGTCTTTCTGTGCACTAAAATTTAGATTTTATATATTAAGAAAAAATTATAGTATTTTTGACAAAATTCATATAGTTAAGGCTTTTTGGTCGATATAACAAAAATATTACGTCATACGAACAAACCGTAATCAAACAAGATATCTGTTTACAGGAACTAAACAGTTTTATTGGGCATATTTTAACCAAATTATTTTGTTGTCACAACGAAAGTTTGGTGCACGCAACAATACATTTTTCCTAGTACAGTCGTATATTCGAACAAACATTTGTTTAATTTTAATACAATTTTTTCTCAGCGCAGTATCGCAATATCCTTCATTACGGTTTCTCTGATTAGAATGGCTGTGCGATCGTAGAGTCGCGAGTATCACACTCCAGCGCGGGTGACGAACGTCCTGCCGTCGGCCGTCACTCCCATGCCGTCGGCTTGAAACCCGGGGCGAGTTTACGTGGGGACGCGAGCGGAATGGCGGCGAGTTTCAGTCGGCCGCCGTATAACTGCTACGTGCGCGTCTTGACGTGCCCGAGACTTGCGCGCTGCGAATGAATAATTCATAACCCGGCATCTCGTGGCGCCCGGCGTCCCCTCTCCTCACCCCCCCCCCCCCCGTCGCAATATCGATAACCATCCACTTTGGCCAACTATTTCCTGTGCCATCGCCTTCGTTCCGGTGATCGTTTCGCAAATAGTCGCGCAGCGATAGCGTGATAGCCGGCCGCGGGCCTCCGATAACCCGATTCGTCACGGGGGACAGGCCGACGCGAATATTAATCCTACTGATTGAAATAATTGCATAGGCTGTGGTCATGGCGGATTTTACACGAGACCGCGCTCAGGGTTGTGCACCCGCTCGCTCGATTTTTGTCGAACGTGGAAGCGGAGCAGGATGCAATCGCGCGCGCGGCGGAAAATTGAACGCGTAGGCGTGCCTATAGCGGCCGTGTCTATCGAAGTTATCGATTAACTCTTTGCACTACGCCGAAATCCAGGAGGCATTCGCTGCTTGACGAATGTTGATGGCCCAGAACGCAAAGGCTGAAAGAAGAGAGAGAGAGAGAGAGAGAGAGAGAGAGAGAGAGAGAGAGAGAGAGAGAGAGAGAGAGAGAGAGAGAGAGAGAGAGAGAGAGAGAGAGAGAGAGAGAGAGAGAGAGAGAGAGAGAGAGAGAGATAGAGAGAGAGAGAAAGAGAGAGAGAGAGAGTCACACGAGTCATCTCTCGGCTTTCACACGAGTATCTGTCCGCAGGCCATGACACGTGTGTGCGACTTTCCACGTGGTCTCGAGTTCGCTTCGTACGAAGGTGAGAGCAGCGACGTCGTGTGCTCTCGCGCCCGCAAAGTCTGCGATTTATGCCCGTACGTGTGCACGGACACATGTCGCCGGGACGAGAAAGAGACGGGTCATCTGTTGAGAGGCCGAAAATCGATAGATTCTTTCAATCGAGCGGAGCTCGATTTTTCGTTTTGACCGCGAGCAACGGTCGCAGCGGTCGCAGCGGTCGCAGGTTGCTTCGCTGCTGCATCTTTACATTATTTTTAATACGCTGTTTGTTTCCGGTTGAAATATTTGGACTCTTTCATGTGTTGCTGCGAGGAAACTGCTTGCAACGTGTGTCTATCAAACGTATTTTACTCGACCGCTCGTCTTTCTGTCTTTTTATCGCGAGAGGCACCCCAACAACTCCATCTTTGACGTGTAGAAACGCGACAGGGAGAACTCGAGAGAAAAAGAGAGAGAGAGAGAGAGAGAGAGAGAGAGAGAGAAAGAGAGATTAAAACGCGTCCTGTGTCCAACATAAGCGGAGGCAGCGGAGCGTAAAATTCTTGAAGAAAAAACGGGCACGATGCGTCACCGCGCGCTCATTAGGAATATTTTATTGAGGTCTGACGCGCTCTCGGCCGAGAATGCTCTCGGCGAACTAAACCCGCGCCGCGATAACACAAGGTTTTCTCGTTCACTCTACCGTTTCCCGCGGTCACCGGTCTTTGTCAAGTTCGAAGTTTGTCAAGCTCGAAACTTACATCCCTCGATAGATTAGAGCTCATTCTCAAACGAGAACGCACCGTGAGGCGAGGCGAGGTCGAATCCGTTTCAATTGCGGGAGATGTCCAGGACTCTTCATTGACACGCCTTCTCTCTTCTTCTCGTTCTCTGTTGTTCCCTTTTGCTCCGGCCGTGCTTTGTTCGGACAGGTGATTCATATTTCGCGGGAGTGAGACACGCGGGAACAAAGTCGACTCACGACTCCGAGGCGAGGGAGACAAAGAGCGGCTGCCGTGGCCATCATCGGGTTAATCAGCAATCAACCGGTACGCGTCTCTGTGTGTTTCAGTAGCGGCATGGTGCAGAGCGTCGGCGCTAATTTATCGCCGGACCAAACATTCGGATCGATCCGGTCGCTCTCGGTGACGAGAGAAGTCGCCAGCTTCCCCCTATCGCGGACACCCACACCGCCTCCGCAGCACAGGTATGTGAATTCCGCTTGTATTTACCTGCGCCTCCCCCCCTCCGCCACCGGATCAACATACCGGACAGTTCCTTTGATTGACGCGTTCGCGCGGCGAAGGGCGGGGGGGGGGGGACGAGAGCAAAGTGGAAAAAATCGGATGGTTGTGCGGCGGCGAACGCAATTTCATTGCAAATTGGAATGAGCGACGTATAAACATAATGGATCCCGCGTAACCAAAACTTGACCGCGGCCGACGAAGCGCGCGCGAGCCGTCGAAATTCTGCTTCCGGTAGAATTTCGCCGGTCTCCCCCCCGTTCTTCGCTCGTCCGTCGACACATTGGGCGCCGGTGGCCGTGTTTCATTGAGTTTAGCACGTAATTAGCTGCTGGTCGAAAAAGTCGCTCGCACGAAGCACACGACTCGCGCAAGTTCCGTGTCGCTCTCAAATCGCATCTCGTCGAATCTTCGGTAATTCGATTCTGCATTGACAAAACCCGCTGCATGAATCCGCATGAGAAGTCTGCCCGACGGCACACAGTGGGGCCAAAAGCGGATCCGAGCGGATCGATCGACAAGGAGAACAAAGAACTTAGATCGCTAGAAGATAGATCGCGTTGCTCCGACGAAGAATCGTTGATTGCGACTTTGCTGAATGACGCGGAATCGAATTGGACTCGTTCTCTCGCACCTTTGATATATACTCCGCTTGGAAGGAAAGCGAAAAAGAAAAAAAACAACAAAAATGGCCCCACTGCGCGACGTAAGGCGAACCCAAGACGCTTCCGCTGTTGAATGTTCGACTTGACGACGCGGCCAATGCGAACGAACGTGGTCGTTACAGACCGTCGGCGCTGGCGAACCCCGAGGAGCTGGTGGGCGCCGTCGGTAGTCCGCTGCGAGAGGCCTCGCCGAGGCCGGAGGTGCGCGTGGTCGCGCCTTCTCACCGGCCACCGCCGTCCGCACTGGCCGCGAACGGCCACGCCGTCGCGACGGCGAACCGCAAGTCCGTCAGCATACTGTTGCCGGAGCAGAGCAGCGGATGACCCCAGCTATTGCAGCAGCAGCAGCAGCAGCAGCAGCAGCAACAACAGCTGCAGCAACAGCAACAGCAACAGCACGGCTTCGTGCACCGTTGCGACGAGGAGCCACTCTCGATGTAGGATCGTCGGCTTGCATAATGAGGCGGTGGCGGCCACGACGACGACGACGATGACGACGACGAAGACGACAATGACGACGACGACGACGACGACGACGACGACGACGACGACTAGCTTCGAAAGTGACCTGTCCCGGTCGCATGTTCTCCGACGACTCGCAATCGTCCAGCGGCGACGATTCGCCCGTCTCTCTCCCTCGTTGCGTCTCGTCGCCGCGACTGCACGAGCTCGCATCGCGCCCAGATTCCGACATGGTCTTCGTACAGTGCATGCGTGCGTGCGTAGGTAGAGAACGTGCGAATGTGTCACCTGACCCGACCCGACTCGGCCCGCTTCCGACCTGGCTTGGCCTGACGCGACGCTCTCTCGGACGGGACGACGAGTGATCGATCGGTCGTCGACGTCGGCGCGCGGTCCGGCCGATTTTTCCGCTCGCGCGCGCCGACAATCGAACCGCGGTGTGAAGGTTCACGAAAAGGACGTTAGCTTCCGATCGGCGACGCTGCACGCGAAACAACCGTTTCTCCCTCGCGAAGCGCTCATGCACATACGAGGACCCAAGACACGTACATACGTACGAGGGTGCTCTCCGTTTAACGACACAAGCCGGCGCAGATATCCTTTTGTCTCTGAGGCAGGACTATGCTCGTGGACGACGACTTGCGTCGCTAAACTTCGACTGGAAAGCGGAATCTCGCGGTTGAATCTGATCCCGCGGTCGTCGAGACTCGCAGACTCCGAGGACGACGCGAGGATCGGACAAGGTTGCTCATTATCAGCGTGCGGAGAAACTCTGGCGACCGCTGGGAGGGGGAGGGCGAGGGCGAGGGGCGAGGGGCTCGGTGGGCGCTTTTTCGTGCTGTTACGTGTGAAAATTCGACGAGGACCGCGCGATCGATCGCGCCGCTCGCTTCCGCCTCTGCGTTATACACTGGGCGTGAGTTATCGATAATCTGGGGATTAGCCATCAACCGTCAACTTTGCAGTCACACCGGTGGGAAATGATTGGCGTTAGCGAGCGGCGATTACGCGATACAAATACAGGGCGAGGTAAACGCAACCTCGGGGGAGGATGACGGGACAAATACGAGGTTGACTCAGGCAAGGCTCGTCGAGAGAGGATACCAGCAGGTATCCTCCGTATATTCGTATCGCTGTAGTTAATTATCAAGCTCATATCGATCTCCGTTTTATACGTCAGCGACGAAAATTGCGCACGTTCTGGTCCTCCTTCTTGCCGAAGACGCGCGAGTCGACGGAGGAGCGAGCTCTCGCGGCATCTCCACCTCGACCGGTAACGCAACAGCGAGAATTTATCCTCCGGGAATCACTAGAGGATAAATTCTTTTTATAGCGCCGCAGGATAAACAGAGTGTCGCGATATCTCTCCCGCTGGCAATACTCACGCAAACTCGAAACTGCGACCGTACGGAAATTCACCGCATACGCAGGAACAGGATTCGTCCCCTTCTCGCGCTCGGTCGAGGTGTATTTTCAGCGATGCCGCTCTCGCGATCCGCGCGAACGCGTAGGAAACTACGAAAGGGTTAACATCTGTGAGGGAGAGAGGGAGGGAGGGAGAGAGAAACGCAGACATATACTCGGTGCACATGTTCTGCGCGCGTGTGTTAATTAAGTCTCGGTTATTCTCGGCTCGGCATTCTCTCGTCGGAAGGGGGAGAGAGAGAGAGAGAGAGAGAGAGAGAGAGAGAGAGACAGAGAGAAGCGAGCGTCTTGATTTGTCGGTGGCGACGAATTTCGCGTATCCGCCTCGCGAGACACGAGGAGATTCGTCGGAGCTTCATTCCATTCCCATCAATTCGAGACATTCGGCAAGTCTCCGTTTTGCGATTGTTGCGAGTGCGAGAGTGTTATTTTCACACGCTCATGCGTGGATAAGTGACACTCTCGAATTTGCAGTGATGTCCCGAGAGACGATTTCTTGTCACCGCATTTGCAAGAGAGAAAGAGATAGGGGGAGACAGAGGGGAGATCGAGAGAAAATCAATCCTCTTTGCTGTAAATCGTTCTCCGCCTTCTTCCGCGTTCCTTGCCTTTTCTCTCTCTCTCTCTCTCTCTCTCTCTCTCTCTCTCTCTCTCTCTCTCGGAAGAATCGATATCGCGAGAGCGTCGGAGAGCTCCGTTGAATCCCAGGTAGGTGGACAACTAAGTAAGACAGACTGTGTAGAACGGATCGTTGTGGCGACGTGTGCTGGCAGACGCTCGGTTCCGCCCGTCTAGACGGGCCGATCGTTCAGTTTCGCGCAGGGGATCGAGGTAGCGCTCTTATTTTTAGTCCGGCCGGATTATCCCCGACCTCCGCACACATACAGGTCGATCCGACGGTGAGATGACGCGAACGGCGTTTACGATAATGAGATAATTACGGGCTACGTGCTGATGTTCCGACGCGACAGGTCCATCTGTTTTTCGCCGTGCTGTTGTCGCTGATTCTTGTCTCGACGACTCTTCTTTCGACTCATTCGCGATCTCGGGGTACATTCTAAAGCTATATCGCCGTGTTTGTCGCGTTAAATTTTTCATATGTTGCGATATCGCTGCGATCAAGTCACGCACGAGCAGCTTATGCGTAATTCGCGGGATAACCGAAAAATGAGGATACCATATTCTTTTATCCTTCCTTTTTTTTTCTTGCGCGAATATATCGCTAATTCCGGGAACGTGGTTGCAAAGTATCCGCTAATAATAATCACTCGGAATCGGGAGGAAGCGAGGATCGGGCAGAACGACTGTAACGTTGACAATCTACTTATCATAGGAATAATATTCGTGCTGTAAGAAAAGGGATTGAAATTTCGAGGAGACGAGAGCCTGAACAAACGATGAAACAATGTAGTTGAATTCTGCTGCGCGAAAGTTGGATAACATTCGACAGTCGCCGACATATCACGAACGAAGACGAGACGAGAGTGCATTTGTAGACGAAAAAAAGATGTCGCTGCGACGCCGCTGTTTTCGGCCGGTTACGATACCATACGCGAGGTAACAATGTTTTCGACCGACTAATTGAGAAATCGTTATCCTCGCCGGCGAAACGAAAGAAACAAAAAAGAAAAACAAACCATTCCTATCCCGCGTAACAATCCAATATCTGCTGTCTTTTTCGAAACGAGCTTGTTAAATCCCACCTCCACACTAGTGCGCACAAGTATCGTCGATCTCTTCGTTCTCGCGTGTCGGCTTCCTTCTGTTTTTCGCGCAACTCGAGCGTTTCGTGATAAGACGGAAACGGGGTGGATGGAGGATGGGCCACGCGCGAAGAAACGACTTTCTCCCCGCGACGGGGAGAGGCGGGGAACAGGTTTTATAACGAGCCACACACGGTCCTCAACACGGTAATCGGATTAAGTGCTTCTGATGGAATTGACCGAAACGAGATACCGGCCTTTGCGACGCTAATTAACACGTATCACTCTCGTGACATTCGCGGAAAAAACGGTAAACACAGACGGACGAGCGCGCGACGTGCAAGTGGACACGCGAGAGTTGAATTACAGGAAGAAAACACCATTTCGCGATGGACGGAGTCGCGGCGCGCGACGATATACATATTTGTCCACCATCGACCCTAAACTTGGCGAGAAAGGTAAAGAAGGGTCCAAAGGGGCGCTACAAGAGCGCGCAGCGTCGACTGAGAGCGGTGAAGAGGACTACGTACGCTTGATCATCTTCTCTTCCCTCACATGTCGCGTCTGCGTGCGCGAATAGACGGGGAGAAGATGGTCCCGAATGTCGCGACATCGTTAAGCTTCTCGGTACGATCGTCGATGCAAATCGACGGCCGCTGAAACGTCGACTGTAGTCGTTTGATCTCGAGTTTTCACACACACGAATGTAATTTTTTTCTCGTGAAATTGACGTTATTATCGACGATAAAAATGGTAATGCATCGAGTGCATTTTCAATGTCGTTTCGAGGTCGTTTTAGTCTCGGTTACATCGAGGCGATGTAATTTATTATTACGTCGCGTTGTTTTGCGCGAATGATTTGTTTGCTCGTCGTCAAGTGAAGATTCCCGCATAAATCGGTGATAATAACCTCACGCATGCTTGTTGTGCGAAAATGTGTGTGAACGCGCGAGACTAAGCGTTCTCGGGCCTTGTTAATTAAGCTTCGGTCATCGGGTGACGCTGCGCGGCTCGAGATACACCCGTCGTACCGAGAAGATTGGCAAACATCGTTTAGGCGAATTAAGAAAACGGCTGAAACGTAATTTTAATGGTTAGGAAAGGCATCGAGTCCAGGCGATACGAGAGAGAGAGAGAGAGAGATATATCAAGGTGCACGCCAAGCTTAGAATTACAATAAGAGAAGCGCGTTAGCCGGGCGATATGTGTTAAGGGGTGTTCCGATGGTGCTCCCTAGGATATATAGCGTTAATTAAAGACATTATAGAGAGATTCGTCGATAAGTAAAAGGAGATCCTTACCGTAGGAGAGTTGGTGGGCACTAATCGCGTAGCATTTAAGATTTCAAGCGTAGTTTTTAAGGCGACGCACGCGTTGATGCTCATAATCCTCTGCCTGTCTCGAGAAAGAGAGAGAGAGAGAGAGAGAGAGAGAGAGAGAGAGAGAGAAAGATTGAAAAAGGACGCGGCGACCGATCGACCTCGGTCAACCGCAATCATCATCGAGCAGGCAGCTGAGATTTTAAGTAAGACTCTAGTCCTGTAAATACGTAGGTAAAAACGAAGGTATCGATCGAAGCAGGAGAAGAGAGGAGAGGAGAGAAGAGGAGCGAGCGAGTTTAGGGGTTTTCAAAGACACATCACACTTACGACTTTATCGCAAGAAATGAAGGGGTATCGTTGACGGTCGCGAACGTACGCGTTTCGTAAGCCTGCGATTGTATCGCGCGAGAAGAGGAGAAAAAACATTGTTGACTCTTGAAAAAGTGAGGAATTTTCCAGCGCGTTTTATTACACTGTAATCTGTAATAACAGACTCGCGTCTGTTTATTACAGGTTCGAGGTAATTAATTTATTGAGAACACATTTATTTCAGAGAACTTATTGATTTGTCGAGAAAACTTATTTATTACTGCATTGGAAATCAAAATAAAAGTGCGTCTTCTCATTATAATAATTCGTCGCTACAATCAGCCGAGTCGTCGGTGCAAAGTTGCTTTAATAACACCAGCGTCTCGCACAAAATCACTCTTTCAAGAGTTAACGGTCGTTGGACGTGCACTCATCTTTCGCTCACCGAAGTCGTGAATTCGCGAGTGGGGTTGCGCTAACGGGGCACGTCGTCGTCGTCGTCGTCGTCGTCGTCGTCGTCGTCGTCGTCGTCGTCGTCGTCGTCGATGTTCGTTTTCCTTTTGCCATACTCGGTCCTCAACAGCGAAACTTAATTGCGAAGGCACTCTCATCCCTTGCGCGTAGCAGCAAAGATTAATGTGGCGCAATTAATGGGCGAGACCGGCATCGATCGCGCGCGAAACACCAGCCGGATGAACTTGCGAACTTTTGCGAAGTCACGGTTTCGATTTCAAAGGTACACGGCGCATAATCCGAGGGATTCGTCATCGTCGTCGTCGTCGTCGCCGTCGTCGCCTACGTGCTCCGTCGTCCGTGCGCGTTAACGACGTGTTCACAATTGCGCCGCGAGCGAATCGAGATATCGAACCTAAGGGAGGAAAAAGTGCGCGAACGTCGCTCGCCCGGAGCGGCGCGTTCGCCGAGAGCTCGAAGCGAGGACACATACTGTGAAGGACGCTTTCTGATATATCCGACAATATATTTACATATTAATCGTAACGGTCTAGAACGCGTACTCGATACCGTAGCTCATTCAATAGCATTTGTTCGTGCTGTCGTAGAGTATATAACACGATCGAGGGTGGAGGACACGCGACGAGGGGCTGCTTCCTCTCGCGTGTAGTGTGAGCGTGCGTGAGTGCGTGTGTGCGCGCAGGCGATTCGCCGAATCATCTGATCGCGAGTGAGAACGAGCATAAAGCACTTTTGTGATCTCGCTGTTTGACGCTTTTGGCAGCGGCGTAAGTCATGTCTGCTTCGAGAGAGAGAGAGAGAGAGAGAGAGAAAGAGAGAGAACAGCCGGGGCGCGACGACAAAGGTAGCTGTCACATTTTCTTTTCTTTCCTTTGTTTATCGATCCTTCAGTCTCTTTTTTCGATGGATTGTACGATGAAACTTGCAGAGCTGAAACCCACGCAAATTTATCGAGATATTTATTACGAGAATAATTATAATTGCTTCATTTTTACAATTATAGTTACAAATATCATTTTTTCGGTGCGTTCACGCAAGGAGCAGAAGGCACGAGAATTTGACCGAAAGAATTTCGAGAAAAGAATTTGTCGCACGCAGCCGTTTGAAATTGAGTTGATTCGTCTCGGCTTGAACCGCCTCGATTGATCTCTCGCTTCGAATTTTGCAGTGCATGATAAAAAATCTGATTACATTATGTCGTATTCATCATAATTCCGAATGATTAAAAAATCATCGCGTAGGGAGACTCGAGAAGACTCGATTTACGCCACGAGCGAGCCAAAGCCACACAAACGACGTCTCTGCGACGCGGTGGATCATGAAAAGTGCGCTTTTGCGCGAAAGCGTGTGCCAAAAAGTAGGACAAGTCTCTTCTTGCGAGCACGAGGCGAGGCAATTCGTACTTTTCCTTTTCTTTTCTTTTGCTCGCTTTAAACACCACCGACTTATTCTGCACGGAAAAACGTGCACGTCGGTTCGGTACAACTGATTTTCTGTTCTCCGGAGACCGCGGACGAAAACTCGGTTGCAGGAACAAAAAGATCCCTGCTGCACGAGGTTTCTATTCAGTCGATTGTTCTCGGTTGTTCCAAGCGAGTTTGAAAGCAGAGGGGTCGTTTTTGATTCATGAGTTCCCGCCAGTTACACGAATCGAGCCTTTTACCGGCTCCACCTTTGGCATACTCCTCGTCATGTCGCGATCATGCTCAAGGTGGAACCGCAAGGACCCATAAGAGAAAGAGGAAGAGAAGGGAAGAAATGACTCTCACATGAAGAGTGTGAGTCTGAGCGATGTCGCCTTGACAGCTCTCTCGGCCGTCAGCGCGACACAGCTCGGATCGTGTAGTTTACTACGCTCAAGTAGAAGAATAGAAAAGGGAGAAGGAGAAAGAGTCGATTCCCTTCTCGCTCTGTTTCTGTCCAATCGGTCGACCTGTTTCATTCTCGCAAACGAGGTTAATTTCCGAGCGATGTTGATTCGGACGAATTGCTACGCGTCGGTGCGGCTCAAGGTCGGAAATTAACGCGACTGTCGGCGCATCCTTCCACCCGTGATTACGATTTGCGGAGGAGTGCACTGCGGTCGCCGACTTGCGATCGGCGACCGCAGGATATTTCGGTTTATGTTTAGGGTATAAGACAGAGCGAGAGAGGGAGAGAGGGAGAGAGAGAGAGAGAGAGAGAGAGAGAGGGTGGCTGAGACTCATATTCGTTTCTTTTTCTAGGGCGATTTGTGATAGAACGCGTAGGCTCTCGCAAGCCATAAGGGATCAGGTTTATGCAGCTGTTATGATAATTACGACTTTAATTCCCATTCATAGGAAGCCGACGAGCGGGCGGGCAAGCGAGCGAGCGCGCTGCTACGCGGGTTCACCGCTTTATGTTTCCCGCAATCGCCGATCGTTGACGTCTGAGTCAGCAGAGTTGAGCCGAAGAAGCAGCAGCGCGATGACACTTTTCTCTATGATCTAACACTCGATCGTTTCGTGACATTGATTGGCCGCAAAATTTCAATGGGAAATTCTCACAGGACGATCGAGAAGTCGCCGCGATTGGCGATGAAGAAGATCGGCTGTTCAGTTCTTAGCACGGACCGGATAGAGATTCTCCGGTCCACGTAGGACTTGATTCAATTTGGACCTTGTGATTTCATCTGTTTTTGTAATTTTACACGCGGCCGATTATCGTGGCCGACGAAAAGTTAACCGTGCGTGTCCGACTTGCCTGCCTACGGGCTTCGCGTAAATTAGATATAAGGGTGCAATTTGTAGACCCGTCGTCCTGTCGTCGAGTCCTTCCCAACGAGGCTCGAGCGACACGCGTCCGTGGTGGTATTTATGACACACACACACACACACACGTACATACACACAAAAGATACACGCGTATGATTAAGGCGTAATTTACATCCGGATGAGTTTTATAGCTGTTGATTATATAAAGAGGCTGATTAAGTTTAGATATCGTTCCAATGTACTCGATACATTTGATATAACGCAGTTAAAGACATTCGTATATAGTGGACATACGTTAATTATTATTGTCATAGACACACACATTATTATTATTATTATTGCTATTATTATTATAATCTAACGTAAAATATCCGACGATTTTACCTCCCCCGTTCTTTTTTAAATCCCGTTCAACAGGATGGATGTGAAGGATAACTAGAATGTGTCACTGATGTGTAAAACGAAGCCTCAACTGCGGTGATTAATTTCGGCTAAATTCCGCCAAATCAAATCGTACGTAACGGCCGACGAAATGAAATTGGAGAAACCAAAATGTAATACATTCCTCTGGCGATTCTTAAACATGAAAAATGAAGCAAAATTTGACCTAGCTCGTGTGTCATTGCCGTGGTTGAGGGTCGACTTCCATTTGGACAGAGAGAGAGAGAGAGAGAGAGAGAGAGAATACAACGTACAGTGGATGGAAAAGAAGCGTCTCTCACATTTCTATGTAAATTACGAACAGAGTGAGGAGAATCCTCCAATTATCGGCATCGACACGAGACGTCTCCCGCTCGCGTTTGAGGCACTTTGCGGAGCTTTCCGCCGTATTACGCGAAATACGCGAAAGATGGGCGAATTTATTGGATCGCTCGGCGCCGCGCGAATAGTCGGACGTAATGAAAGTTCAATTTCGCCGACCGAACGGAGCTGCGTCGTGCAACGGCGGGATCCACCCGCGCGATCGCCGAATGGCCGACCGACGACAGCCGGCGCGGTTTTATACGTTTATAGCGAACGACGGTAATAAAAGGGAAGCGGTTGTTACCTATACGGCCTACACGTAGAGACATAAGGCGTGTAAAGAAAAAAATATGAAACATACGACTCCGAGTCGCCGTACGCTCTCACGCAGCTCCCGCTTCGGCGCCCTTTCGAGACGCACGTAGGGCGATAGTACTTACAGTGCGAGACAGAGATGTCCCCACAAGGTTGGGGAGAAGTGGCAAGATCCGCCGCCGAAACAGAAGAGAATGGCTAGAGAAATCCCTCACTGTCTCTTTCTGTCGCAAACGGAAGTGAGTCGCGGGGTGAGAAAGAAAGGTAGAGGAAAGAAGAAAAATGACGAGAGGAGAGACCGACACGTTCACACGCGCTTGCGAAAGTGAACGCGATGCGAACGAATCCCTCCCCCTTCCCCCATCTCCTTTTCCCTCCCGCCTTTTCCGCTGGCATTTTGCAAATCTCCGTCGAGAACGAGACCCAGTTAGCATTAGCGCGAGATTGTCGCGGCTGTATCATCATCCATAATAATCGTCTCATCGTTATCGTTATCGCTACTACAATTGCTATCGTCGCTGTCCGTCGTTACTACTATTACCTCTGCCCCCTTCCCCCTCCAACCCGCCCGCGCCAACCGGTTTCCCCAACCCGCATCTCCAACTCGACGCCGATGAGTCAGGTAGTACGCTCTAATTACTCGATAATTCTGTGTCGATATACACCTAATTGTATATTACGATGATCACTGTGTAAAGACTTGAAATTCCAATATATAATAATAAATCGCTCTTCATATTCTCGTCCTTCGATTCGCCGACGTCCCCGTTCTCCTGTCCCGTGACCGCGGTGCGTTACTCTGCGAGATAAATTATACGCTCGCGCGTCCTCGCGCGGTTGGCAGAGATTTCGTTTCGGTCTTCCTTCGGGGAGGAGGAATAAAGGGGAATAAAGTGCAGGAAATACAAAAGCGCCCACGGGCACACAGTGCGCCTCAGGTATAATATATAATAGTTTCTTCTTCTTTTTTATTGTCCTCTTATATAACGTACAATCAACAACATTTCCTCTCGTCTTGCTCCTCCTCTTTTTCTCTTTTGTGTAACATCCGTGCCGGCGAGTAGCTCTCAAGGACACGCGTCGCGTGTGCCTCTCTTTCTCTTCTCGTGGGTTTCGTATATAAATAATCGAGCTTCTAATTGAGAATATAATATATACAGGGTGCTAAATTTCAAACGTAACAGGTAAAAAATCTCGAAAACTATGAAAGATATTAAAGAAAGCTAAAACACGTGTTCCATGATTTCGAAGGGGAAAGAGAATGGCGTTATCAGTTTTTTATTTGGAGGGCATTTTCAAGGTCAGTTAAAGGTCAGCTTAATTTTTTAAAATAGAAAGCCCAATTTTTTATTATATCTTCTTTTTCTACCAATTAATTTGAACAACTTTTGTCTGAAACATTTCTCTATTTGCCTCATTTTTTGAAATATTTAAGGAAAACTTGGTAACTTTTTCAACATTTAACTTACGATATCTCACTAACTATCCGTCGAAAGAAAAAAATAGTGTTAGACTTTTTTACTTTATTTACTATCAAGAATATATAACTATAATAATGCCCCAACTTTTGTTAACTTATCAACCTTTGGAAATTTCAAAATTATTAAATAAAAAACTGATAATACCATTTTCTTTCCCCTTCGAAATCATGGAACACGTGTTTTAGCTTTTTTTAATATTTTTCATAGTTTTCGAGATTTTTTAGCTGTTACGCTTGAAATTTAGCACCCTGTATATATACAGGGTGTACGATTTATCTGAAGACGTTGAAATATCTCGAGAACTATGCATTGGATAAAAAAAAGTGGTTAATGAAAGTTGTTAGTCTCGAAGGGGGACATCCAACGATACCAAACTCGACCTCCCACCCCACCCCCTGGCGGTGGGGGTTGGGGGCAACTTTGAAATCTTAAATGGAAACCCCCATTTTTTATTGCAGATACGGATTCTACGCCACAAAATACATAAATTTTGTCCGAAACTTTTTTTTTATTTGTGATAGATGGCGCTGTAATCGCAAAAAATTATATTTTCCGCAATTCTCCAGAAATGATCATTGGATTGAGAAATAAAAAATACCTGTTCAATATTTTTAAAGAACATAATAAAAGTTATTAAAAAGATAAGGTTTATCAACCTAACCTAAAAGATAAGGTTTATCAACAAGTGCCAACAACTCGTGAAAACATGGTAGAACGCATAAGAAACGCTTGCGCTGAAACTCCCGCAGATATGCTTCTATCCTGTGTACAGTCATTTGAAAAAAGGATCAATAAGTGTATTGAAGTTGAAGGTAAAAATTTCGAACACTTACTCTAATTAATTGAACAGTGAGAGGCAAGGGGACTCACATTAAAAAAGCACCCCGATCTGTGAAAGGCAAGGGGACTCACATTAAAAAAGCACCTGAAGGGAACATAAAACTACTACGTCCTCGTCGTTGTTCCTGTGTAACGCTAAAAGTAGTTTCTCGGAAAAATTCAACGCTATCTATCACGAATGAAAAAAATTGTTTCAATAAAAGTTTCACGTACAATCTAATTCTGCAATGAAAAATGTGGCTCCCCGTTTGAGATTTGAACGTTATCACCCACCCTATCCTGAGAGGATGGGGGGGAATAACTTTTATTATGTTCTTTAAAAATATTGAACAGGTATTTTTTATTTCTCAATCCAATGATCATTTCTGGAGAATTGCGGAAAATATAATTTTTTGCGATTACAGCGCCATCTATCACGAATCAAAAAAAAAGTTTCGGAAAAATTTACATATTTTGTGGCGTAGAATCCGTATCTGCAATAAAAAATGGGGGTTTCCATTTAAGATTTCAAAGTTGCCTCCAACCCCCACCCCTAGGGGGTGGGGTGGGAGGTCGAGTTTGGTATCGTTGGATGTCCCCCTTCGAGACTAACAACTTTCATTAACCACTTTTTTTTATCCAATGCATAGTTCTCGAGATATTTCAATGTCTTCAGATAAATCGTGCACCCTGTATATACATATATATATATATATTATACGTGTATATATATATATATATATATATATATATATATATATAGTATCGTGGTAAAGCTGAGTAATATCAACGAATTTATAACAAGAACGTCCGCGATACGTCTGTCGCCGCGGCAATTGGATTAATGATGTAGTTTTATGCAAGACGAGGTAACAGTGAGGGTCTTTTACGGATTAAATTGTAACAAGTCGAGAAATAGGCGTTACGGACTATCGCGGAGAGAGAGAGAGTAGGTGAGATATCGTGAGCACATCACGTACATCATATGTTACGGTTAAAGCGCGTGCGCGCGCGAGACGTGACTTCGTTATCCGTTTTACGGCAATCCGAATTGTCGCCGAATTGTCGAGCGACAGAGAGGATAGATCCCTCACAGATATCGGAGACTGCATTTATACATTATATGTACTTCAACTGTAACATATATTATACATATGTATATTTTTGTATATACATATACGTATCAACATTAGGTACATACAGTTAATACCCCTCGTACGTTTTACAAGTACGCATCACAGATATGTCGTTGTTTGTGGAACGAAAAAACGCAAGACGAAAGCAGGGAGAGTACGGAAATGTCGGGGACGAGAAGTCGAAGGAAATAAGTGTCGGGAAATATCTCTCGCTGTATATCGCGCGTGTGTGCGTGTGTGCGTGTATATTACACAGAGTGGAGCGAGCGCTCGTCGCTCGTTGCGTCGAGAGAAAAGTCGCGACGCAAGAGAAGAAGAAAGCAAAATCGCGCGGGAGTAAAGAAATCGCCCGCGGTCGCTTCGCTAGGAGCAAAGGGGCGAAATTGGAACGAACGATCTCACACGGTAATATCCGCTGTGTGCGTGTGTATATATATATATATATATACAATTCGTGTCGAGTCTCTGAGCGTCTCTCGCGATTGTATTGCACCGCGAGGGAAAATGCACTCGAACGACGGCGGGGACAAATCATAGGCGTCGGCTGGCCGACAACTTGTGGGAACAACGGCAAGGTGTCGTATATCGTACAATTATACAACTCTTTTTGCTCGCTATCTACTGGTAACGCGATATTGTGAGATTAACGCAGCCGCGTAACGTGGGCGTGCAGAGCTGGGCAGTTTTTCGGGGCGCGAAACGCGAGCGATATGTCATATGTGTGTGTGTGTGTTTTTTGCTTCTCCTATTTTATTCGACTCCCAGTCGAATCCTTGAGATTTGCTCTTATACCTCGCGCCTTCGCGAATAATTTCCTCCTGTGCGGTCCCCGCGTGTATCTCGCGAGTTCGCTGCCTGAAATGCGCCGCTGTGGGACACCCTGCTCAATCCCGTAGATCGCGAGCGTCTCTCTTCGGGTATCCTCCGGGTCACGACTCTCTCTAGTCGGCTCGCCACGGCTCGTTAAACTTACGATCGACAGCGGCGGTTCGCGACGGTTGTCGCGCTGCTCCGTGTCGGATCGCCGTATCCTCCTCTCTGTTTCTTCTGGCTACTTTTCTTCTTTTTCTTGCTACTCGTCGTCGCCCTAGCCGCGGGATATTCGCGCGACGAAATGGTGCGTTCCGTGTGTACGTATAATCGTTGGCTGTCGAGTACAGATAACAACAGGTTGTGGGAATTTGTTTCAGCCAATCGCCAATTTCGCCAAAAGTACGCGAAAATCATACAAACGCTTCGCGTTCTGCGTCTCGACGCGTCAACACGCAGGAAGTTCGAGCAGACCGCGTTTCCCGCCCCCGCGTTCTCGTCGGACGAGAGCCGAAGGGGTGGCTTTGGCGAAGATGAGACGCGATCGTCTCGCGTCCGTCGTCCTCCGGTCGACGCTCGAGTCGATCAAGTGAAGGGTCTGAGAGCGTGTGGCAGTTATAACGTGCGTTATTGCTGATAACGAGGATTGAGTTGAACGTGCAACAACAATAATAGCAGGTCGCGGCAGTTTCTCTCGGGAGGTCGAGAGGAAGGATCGCGAGCGCGATGTGACTACTGCGAGGAAAGCTCGCGACCCGGGCAGAAAAATGTCTGCCCGGACGAAGCAATTTTCCGCGGGGAAATATCGACTCGAGTCTGAACGTTCGCCTCGAGTTTTCAGAATTCAGGCTGAATTATCGAGATTCTGGTGGAATTTGGCGGAACACCCGCGATCTCCCTCGTTCATATTTCACCCGGAAAGCTGCCTCGCCCGAACAAATATTTCCCGCCATGCGGTAAAACATACCCCGCCCACATTACGAGTAACGAGAACGAACGAAAGCGCGTTAATACGTTGACTGTAATATACTGCGAAATGTGCTATCGAACCGCTACGAGAGAGTAGTGCTAATTAGACATAGACGTGTCGGGTCGCGAGAATTCTTCTCCGACGACATGTGTGTTTTTATACACACGAGGAAAAATGACTGGTCGAGTGAGCGATGTCCTTCCGGTAAAGTACACTAGGAAAAATGTATTGTTGCGTGAACCAAAATTTTGTTGTGACAAAATAATTTTGTCAAAATATGCCCAACAAAACTGTTTAGTTCCTGTAAACAAATATCTCGTTTGATTACGGTTAGTTCGTATAACGTAATACTTTTGTTACAGCAACCGAAAAGCTTTAACTATATGAATTTTGTTAAAAATACTATAATTTTTTCTTAATACATAAAATCTAAATTTTGACGCACAGAAAGACAAAATAGTATCCATTGGGCATTATTTTAGTTGATGTAAAATTTATATTTCGTTATTATGTAATTTTTATGGATAAAATAAGTAGAATGCTTAATTTTTACATATGAAATCTAAGAACAAAATCATTTGGTCCAGAGAACAAAGCAGAAAAATATATTTAGTTGAGACAACTAAATATTTCGTTATATAAAACAAGATATTTGGTTGCTAGTAAAAAATGCCTCAACTAAACAGTTTTGCTAAAGATACTAAATTGATTTTTCTAGTATCCGGCATTTCTGATTGGAATTCCCGAATCGCGACGTCGGTGCTTCACCGGATGTCGCTTGCTTCGCCCGACCAAACATTTTCCCCTGAAGCCGCCCCCTCCCCCTGCCATCGATACAAAAAAACGCCTCGGGCGACAAACCGCGAGATAGGCCCGTTGGTGGATTTCGTCTGGCAACTTTCCTGTCGATGCAAGTCCCTGAAGATCATCCGCGAGACGACGTTCTCGCGTCGCGGACCGTGATGTCACGGGGGGGGGGGGAAGGGCGAGAGGAGGAAGGTGCTTCCGCGTTCATGGTGTGGTTCAATCGGCGTGTTGACGGGCGAATCTCAAGGTCGAGCATCGTCTACTTGGGACTACGCCGGTTGCCTCGACGAGCAACAGCAGCTCGCTCGGGCCGCATCGATGCTCTTCCTCCGCGTCGGTCGCGGTCGCGTCGCCGTGACGCGCGGGTGTTGTTGGTCATGTGGAGTGCGACGATATCGCAGGTCGGATTTCGCCTCGTCCTCCTCGCGGGAGACTCGCAAAACAAACTACCGCGTTCGCGTGCGGCTTCCTCCCGTTGGAGAGGCGCGACTCCGCACGCTTTGTACTTGGGGGTGACCGGGCGCGAGACGAGACGGCGAGGAAGAGTCGAGAGAGTGTCCTCTCTCGGGGATCACGGAATACCGCTTTCTTTCTCTTGCTCTTTGTTTCTCCGCCTGCTCTGGTGCCCGGTGAGGGCGAGAGACGGCGAGACGTGTTCTGTTGTTATTATTATTACGGATGATACAGCGTGACAATTTTGCCCCGGACGCGTAGGAAGAAAAGGAAAGCAGCCCTCCTCTTTTCCCCGATTCGATTCAAGCCGGCCGGTTCCGCCGGTTTTCCTCGCAGACGAGCGAGCGCCGGTGATCGAGTCGCTGATCTCCCCGAAGGTCGAGCCGAGGTGACACCCGTCCGCGCAGCCCCGTTCCCCGGCGTGAAGCGACCGCGGATCGCCCGGCGAGCGCTTAGTCGTAATTCTCCGACTCCTGCTGCACCAGCTTGTACCGGCGCGGGCTCTTGACGCACATGGAGCCGTGGCCCTCCAGCGACAGGCGGCCCTTCCTCTGCAGGTACGTGGTGATGTAACGAGCGACCAGCGTCTGCGGCCGCATCTGCCACTCGTCCAACACCTCCTTGGGCGCCATGACCTTTGCGTCGAGTCGACATCGAGATTAGTTGGGTGGATCAATCCGGGCTCGCCCAAAGCGAGGTCGGCGGTTGCAATGCCGAGGTCAGTCTAACACGAGACAATGTGCCGAAGACTGGAGGAGTCTTCCTGTCGTCATAATAACAGTAGAGATGTGCGAATCAAGAATTTTTATGTCGAATTCGAATCGAATCGAATCATTAAAAAATTTAACATGACTATTAAACATGCAAATAATGATGGGAGATTTTAATATAAAAGGGAATATATTGATATTGTAATATCATCTTAAAATAAAATATATATTTAAATATTTTAAGTAATTTATAATTAAGTTATTAATTATAAGTTAAGTTAATTACACAAGTTAAGGGTTCAGGCATACACAGGCCTGGATGGCCCGTTTTGTAGCCCGTTGATGCGCGCAAACGCGATTGATAAATCTTTGATTCCTATTCGAATAGTTCGCACATCTCTAAATGACAGTAATAATCGTAATGATGATTGTAATTTCTGGCTGCATCGTCTCTCGTCGTGCCGAGCTCGGTGTCGCAATCGCACGCCGCCAACAGCAACCTGCCCGAGTTTCCCTTACATCGGCAGGGAAAGAATGCGCGGTAGCAGCAGAGAATGAGGTATACCTGGTCGCCTTTGAGTCGGTCCAGTAATGTCACGCACACGACGGCGGACTGGATGCCGGCGTGGTGCGTCAGCGCGGCGAAACAGAGGCTCTCCATCTCGATGTTCACCACGCCAGCTTTGTGCATCTTTGTGAGGTAGTCCATCTTGTCAGCCTCCGAGAACTCGCAGAACGCGCCGTCCAGCCGGCCCTGTTCCTCGTAGAAGTCGTTTGTGCACATGGTCTTGCCGATCACGGTGTCGTAGGGATCGTCGCGATGCGCCAGGGCCCTGAGGTCGCGGGTGAGCTGCCGGTCGAGCTTGGCCGGCCGGCGTATCAGTTTCCCCAGCACCAACTGCGACGTGATTTGTCAGTCGCGATAATTACTAAGTCGGGTAATTACTGAGCATTAGCCACGCGGAGAAAAACGTTCGCTTGAATGGACCCAATCTTCCGGTGACATGCAAACGACTCGGAAGCCTTCATCGGAAAGGCGCCAGAATTCAAGTTGACCAGAAATCTCGATATAACTTAGGCCTTATATTTAAGACCGTCTTAAGTTCACTTTCAAACACCCCATAGCCAATGAAATGATTTGTACAGCATCTGAAGATAAACTTAAGACGGTCTTAAATTTAAGATCAGACTATGAATACCAGCCTAGGACCCAGCCTAGGATCATTTTGACAACTCGAGTCGGAGACTCGAGCCAATTTCTCCTCGTGCACCAGTTAATAAAAAAAAATAAATAAATAAAAAAGTTTCTCGCTGGACCCTTTGAGCGCTATCGGGCGAAGCAGAACAGAAATAGGTCAGCGCCTGTTCTAAATCGTAAACAAACGATAAAGAAGCTGAGGCTGTCGCAGACCAGCTGAGGGACTGACGCGTAAGGGACGCGCCCACTCACAAGGGTCAGTGAAAAATCATTGGCACACGCGCGCGCAAAGGCACGTACCAGTTCCAGATAAGGTTTCAGCATCCCGTCCACAGCTTCCTGCGAGATGACGACCGTGCCGCCTTCGTAGCCGACACCGCCGCAAGTGCCGATCCTAAAGAAGACCGGGTCCTTCACCTTGGCGTGGTACATCAGCTTGATCACCTCGTGCAGCAGGATCCCGACCGAAGGTATGCCCATTCCGTGCTGAACACACGAACACCGATCGGCAATTGCAATCTTCCCATCCACTCGTGTCGAATCGGGAAGAAAGAGAAACGGGAGGCGGAGGAGGCAAAAAGAAGACGACGCGACGTCGAGAGGGCGCGAGAGCGCATCCGGGCGTTCCCGCCGCCGCGCGAGAGAATTAATTGCTCCCCCGGCGGCGCAGATCACCGCTAACGCAATTCCGTTCCAAACTTCGCTCGGCTCGGCTCGCGGCTCGGCTCGCGGCTCGGCGCGCGGCTCGGCCTGCCGACGCGACGTGCCGCTCGAGTAATTTGCGCTAACGAGCCGCTGGAAAACGGTTTGACCATCCAGCCGTGTATACGGCGCGTGTAACCAGATCAGGTAGTCACCTGCAACGGCAAGTTACCCCCAGGCTGCGCTTATCGAGAGAGCAGCCAGCGCGACTACGAGACTGAGAAGCACGTAGTGAGAAAAATTATACCGTCGACGATAATAACGTACGCATATATCGCTGGCGCGATTTTTCGAGAGGACCGCGAGAGAGATAACTACAATCTCCGCACGCATTAACCACTTTTTCCAAGAGATCGCGAGAAACGAGAGGCAACGCGAAGGAAAGTCTGTCCGGTCGGAGCCGCGGCGCGGAGTCGACCGGCATAAATTAAAGAAACTGGTGACTTTCGACGTGCAATCGACCACGGTAGGAACGGCCACGGTATAATAATACTCTCCGTGTTGGCGTGCGAAGGTAAGTCCACTCGAGGTCGTAAACATTCCGCCGGTCGATCGAATTCCAATTACGATGGCGCGCGCGAGGCGGCTTTTTAAGGGCACCAAGCAGCGCGCGTTTCGTCCGTCCACTTGACCCGCTCGCTTGTTCCTCGATAATTAATCAGGGCGGTTGTCGAAGCGGAAATAGAATTCTTGCCACAGTCTTGAAAGAAGGAGAGAGAGGGGCTGGAGGGAACGCCGCAGGCGAGCGTCGGTCGCGTCCGTAAAACGTGTCGAGTGCAATGTGGTGACTTACGCTGATCGAGAGCACCGGACCGACTTTGTACATGGAGTAGCGATAGGAGTACTGGCTGATGTCGAGGAGGGTCGTTCCGGCCGGCAGCCTGTGACCTATCTCCTTCATGATGTAATTGGCGAACTGCTCCATCCGTTTCGGCGTCCCGCCCATGCAGACGAACTGTCAAGGAGAAAGGGCTCAGCTTAGAACAGGGTAGAAAGGTGGAAAAACGTAGGACCACCTGAAATCTCCAGAAAAGCGTCTTTGATTTCTTTCTCTTAGTTTGGGAAATACCGCGGCGAAATTTTCGCCAAACTCGCGGAATCGGGAAAGTTGGCGAGCGAGCGAGAGCACACTAGGAAAAAAAATTTAGTATCTCTAACAAAACTGTTCAGTTGAGGCATTTTTTAATAGCAACCAAATAACTTGTTTTACATAACAAAATATTTAGTTGTCTCAACTAAATATATTTCTCTGCTTTGTTCTCTGGACCAAATGATTTTGTTCTCAGACTTCATATGTAAAAATTAAGCATTCTAGTTATTTTATCCATAAAAATTACATAATAACGAAATATAAATTTTACATTAATTAAAATAATGCCCGATGGATACTATTTTGTCTTTCTGTGCATTAAAATTTAGATTTTATGTATTAAGAAAAAATTATAGTATTTTTAACAAAATTCATATAGTTAAAGCTTTTCGGTTGCTGTAACAAAAGTATTACGTTATACGAACTAACCGTAATCAAACGAGATATTTGTTTACAGGAACTAAACAGTTTTGTTGGGCTTATTTTAACCAAATTATTTGATTGTTACAACAGAGATTTTGGTTCACGCAACAATACATTTTTCCTAGCGTACCTTGACGTCGCCAAACATCTCGACGAGGTCGTGGGAGCCGCTGCCGAGCGCGAGGTGGTACAGTATGTCCTGGTCCATGAGCTCGATGTTGGGGTTTCGCAGCCGTACGGAGCCATCGCTGTATCTGTGCAGATGGAGAATCCTCTCATTTTAGGGTCTCGCATATTTATCGCGTGATCCCGATTAGGACGAATGAAGATTTCGCTGATGGAAGTAGCTTCGAAACTCGCGAGCAGATTCCACGCAGCTTTGAATCACACGGAAAGCGGAGCGGCTCGATCGCGCTGTGATCGCCTTTGACACGGCGCGGCCTGCGTCTCGCCGATTGAATTTCGCCCGGCGAACGAAGGAATGCTAATCGCATCGCAGCGTCGAAAATTCACTCGGCTAATGCGATCGTAAGCCTAATCAGTCTCGGCCGCCGCGCATCGTAATTGAGTCAGCCCCGCGTTCGATCGAATAATCGCGTATCGCATTTTCGGCGAGCACGGCGACAAATTCAAGGTGGAAGTTTAATGCGACGCCGCGCCGACGCGTTCGGGACTCGTATTTCGCCGCTCTTCCCGGGCATTTGCTAATTTGTAGATATATCGGGATCGAGTATCACGCAACAGTTGTGCTTTCAATCTCTCTCGTGGGATCACGTCGCGATCACGTCGATCGAAAGCGGTGGTCTCTCTTATCTAGTCTCTTGGAGGACGGTAATCCCGGCGGACAATCTATCGGCGGACAAATTACATCGGTCTCCGCTACATTTACAAAAGAGCCGTTGCTTGTTTATCTGTTATCCGACGATTAAATCGAGCGGCAGAAAATAGGTGCGCCCGACGGTGTAATTTTCGTCACTGATCTGTAATCGCGCTTCTTTCCAATTTCAATTACCGATCGATAAATAAGACGGCAATCAAACTCTCGCCTCTCCTTATCGTCGACTTAGCGCTTTCTTAAAAGCATTTCCTTCCAGCAAATATTTACGATCGATCGAGCGAAGCAGATAAAGAAAGTAAAGACAGAGATACGAAGCGTTCGTCGGACGTGTGGCGCGTGAATTTTCGGGGCTGCGACATGCGCTTCACATCGACGGACGCATCTCTGATGTGATTTTTCCATCTCATCGTATATTGTTTTAGTCAACAAATAAATCGGGCCGAATTCGCCGTTCACGGCGACCGGCACTCTTGCGCGGATTTCCATTTCAAATATGAGAGTGTATGGAGTGTACGGAAAAAAAATTAATAATAAACTCCATATGTATAAACGATATATCCCATAAGTCCGCGCAATCTGTGCCTGCCGCGAACGTTCGCCAAGTTTCGCCCTTTCCGGCGCATTGTGACTTCTGCAGCACATTCGAAATCGCATCGGAGATGCAACCCTCGATATGATGACGTCGCGTAGCGTGCACGGCAGGCGTATGTTTGCGCGTTTCTCGCTAGCGTCCGTGCTAGCGAGTAGTTTCCATCTCGCTCGGACGACCGTGAAGGGAGAATAATGGGAAGCCCCGCTATGTACGCGGAGAAGATAGCGCAGGTACAAAAGGTTGGCAACTCGAGCGTAGATATTTCGTGCGACAAGTGCGACGAGGAATTCATACGAGCTCCTCCTCCTCCTCCTCCTCCTCCTCCTCCTCCTCCGACGGTACGTCACATAGTTGCATTCCTTTCATACTTTCTTAGCTTGCTTTTTTTGCTGCAACTCGCATTAACGTTCTGCACCTTCCCCCTCCCCCACTCCCTCGCTCTCTTTCCCGTACGATTTGCGGTGACTTCCGATCTCGCTCGCAGATAAGAGAGTATCGCGCTTCCCTTCCTGCCTCTCTCTCTCTCTCTCTCTCTCTCTCTCTCTCTCTCTCTCTCTCTCTCTGTCTCTCTCTGTCTCTCTCTCTCTCTCTCTCTCTCTCGCTCGCTCGCTCTCTCGTAACGTTCATGGCCAAAGCGCAGTCGAAACGCTATCAATATTTATCATCGACAGAATTACGACGGCTAATTATGCTAATCTCGCAAATCGGCGCTTACACGTCGGCGATTCGCAGCGCCTTTCGAATCGTCTCACTTCCGACTCGAGGAACAAACACGGTTCGTTGAATAATTAATAGCGAGCCGCAGCTCGCTCACAGCCCGGGGTCGTCGCGACACGTGCCTGTCTCGCTCTATAAGGACGCTCTATAAGGACTTTCGATGTCGAAGGCGAATCTAATGGCCCGCACACGGGGGAGACAATGTAACCGAGCTTCCCGTCGGCCGAAGAGAGCAGAAGACGAAAACTCGGCTCGTGAAGGTGAAAAGATCCCCCGCAGGAGGCTTTCCACTCAGCTTCGTTGGATTTCGTTCTCTCAACCGAGAAAACGTCTCCAGACGGCGGAGAGAACCTGCCGAAACGGTGAAAAACTTTCCTCTTTCCCGCGCGCGACTGAAACGCTCCGTACTCGCACCGGTTTTCGAATGTCGCGAACATTCGTGCGCACGCGCGCGCTCCGACTCCGAATTGGATTGTCGTACTACCTGGTCATTTTGCACTCGCATTCGTCGTCCCTCTCCTTCTCCTCCTCCTTCCTGGACGAATTGACCCGGTTGGCTTGCATCCCGGCTCCTCGGCGGAAGACGAAACGTGAGGCTCAAGCTAAACGCGAAAGCGGAGATCTCACCCTCAAATCCCGCTCCGCGCTCGCGAGGAAATCGCTCGGTGCCGATCGGTGCTAGAGTCCCTCGTCGCGGGGAGTTCGGGGTCGTCGCGACGAAAGCCACGGGAGTGGCTCGGTAACTCGGCTGATTCGCGCCGATGAAACGGGCCGCGGCGGCGAGTCCGGTCGCGCGCGAGCAGCCAGTCGTCGCCGGGATCGGAATAGTTGGCGGCGATCGCGAGGGCAACTTTTATACACGCCTGCCTAGGACGACACGAGCACCGAGCGCGTCATTTCTACCATCACACCGCCGTCGTCGCTGATTACACGTACTGCACGAGCTATCGCGTATGTGCGAGAACGCGAGCTCGGGGGGAGCGGGACGCGCGTAATAATCGTCGCTCGAAATGGACACGAATCGGGGATACAAAACGGTCAGTCAAAGTGTCAGTCTTGCTAGAAAGCGCAAATTTTTCGGCGCCGCGCTGGCCGTGTCTCCTCCATTTACCCAATCGTGAAAGAAAGCAAAACGAGAGAAGAATTTTTCTTCTCCTGACAATAATACATTTCTTCCAACAGTCTCGCTCCCGACGACGGAAGCAAGCAAAGAGGAGACAACGGGCGCTTCCGTTGCTTCGCTTTCCTAACGGAGAGAAATGGTTGCTGCAGCGACAAAGTGGCAGGGATATCGCGACACTTTGGTTACTATTTTTGTGCTTTTATTTCGATTGCCTCAGCGCGGCTTTGCTGCAGCGCGCTTTACTCGCGAATGCCCCGGGCAGAAATCAAATATGGCAATTTTTTATGCCTGATATGGCATGACTAGGCAAGCCATAAGAAGGCATTACGAGTGGACCTTATCCGCGGTCGAAATGTGGCCATTGTCTTGCAATATTTTCCCGATTATATCCCTGACCAGCGATGACGTCATTATCTGGATGCCTGATTTAGTCCTGATGGACATTTGATCAGGTTTCTCGATTTCAGGCAATTTTATCGGGGCATTTGTATGCGGCAGTGCGTTTTACTGCTTATTACCGATAAAGTTATCCGGACCCTGTTTGAAGTTTGGAAGCCGGATGAGGTTTTAATACGACGGACCGTGCGGACGATATTCTGCTCGGGAGTGGACAGTTTTCCTCTCTCGCGTCGCGCGCGCATCGACAAACTTGCCTTTTCCGCTTCCAACGGACGTCTGTTCTGTTCGCGACGCGATAAACGGCCTGTACTCCTTTAATTTCCTTCGGCGCTCTCGGGCGGGAATGCGCGAGCGAGATATGTAACGCGGCTTATCGTCGATCGGCTTTTCCCTCCCAGTCATTGGGACAGATGTCAGCGCGTTTGAGTTTAAAGGGTACTCGGTCGGCAGCAGTTAGCCTCTCGCCTCTGCATTTTTCTCATTCTCCGTGCGATGCGCGCGCGATAAAGAAAGAACATTTGCCCGATACGTGGTATCGCTCGAAGATTCGCAGCGCGGGACGCTGCCTGTCGGCGTGACGCAAGGATCACTCCTGCGAGCGATCGATCGGATGCCGATCTGATATGTCTCGGCAATTAAATCGCGCGCAAATCAAAGAGGAGCCAGCCCAGAGATAACATTATTGAATCACGTAGGAAGAGCGAGCTTTCGAGATAACGCGCGCGTTATCTCAAACACACAGCGACCACTCCTCCTCCTCCTCCTCCTCCTCCTCCTCCCTGGCCCTCTTGCTCGCGAGTGATACACGACGTGCTCCAACGGCGGCCAATGTTTGCCGGACGGAACTCGCCAACTCGGAATAACCCGGGGTAAATTTCGAATGGAAATCGAATCGTCCGTTCGCTTCCCGCGGACGAGCGAGGAATCATTCTTCCGTTCGCGCTCGCGAGCCTCGCCGACAATGTTACGTAACCGACCGTCCCCCTCCTCCTCCTCCTGCTTCCCCCGTCTAGCGCGATATCGCGTGATTACACACTCATACGAGCGCGCACCTGTTCTCCATAAAAAACGCGCTTTTATATTTCCGTTTGCGCGTCGCAGACGAACGCGCGGGGGAGAGCGAGCGGTTCCCCGGAGCGCGCGTCCCCGTGCAATTTGCCTGTAAATTGCCCGCAGGCTTCCCGTGGGATATCGATAAATAAACGGCCGTCGGCCGTTCGTTTCCTTAATAACCCGCAGCAGCGGATCGCTTGAATTCCCGGCCGAGAAACGCGTGCGAAACTCGCCATATCGCTGAGGTAAGGCAATTTTCTCTTCGTCTTCTTCTCCTTCTTCTGCTGCTGCTGCTGCTGCCTCGTCTCCTTCGCTCAGACAATCGATTCGCGACCGAGCGACGGGCGGCGGTCACGCGCGGCCGGACGAAATGGAAAACTCAACGTCCCAGCGGAATTCCTGATGTGGACATCCAATCGAATAGCGTATCCCTTATAAGGACACCACATCTGTTAGGACGTATCCGTTAGCTGCACGTCGCGCCGTTTAGGACAGATGTCTAACGTAAGAACATCTCCCTCGTTTGCAAGCTCGCCTTGCAATCGGGCTATCAGGACTCCTCAGGTGTCTCGCGACCTTTAATCAGCCACGTGGTTATGAAAATGAGAAAAACAAGAGCAGCGCGTAGAGTGACGTTTCCGCGCGCGCGCTTCTCAGTTTCGGAACGAAACGGGCGGCTTTCGGTTTCGGATTTAATCGATGGCGCATGAATCCGACGGCCATATGGTGACCGCAGGCAATGACACCGTCGCGTAATATCCGCCGGCGATATCTGATATCGTCGGTATCTCGCCGGGGTGACCCTCGCGGGCACAATGCGACCGCGCCGTTATCGTCGGCCGCAGGCCGAGCGAGTGCAAGCAGCCTCGTGCTGGGACCACCCCTGCTTTTTAAGGGTCGAATTACACGCGGAAGGCTATTTTCAAGGCTATTTTTACGAATTTTTTCCTTGACAGAAACAGTGAGATCAATGGACTTGAAATTTTCACAGTGTGTTCATCAATGTTCAAAGTATAAAATAAATTTTATTGAATCACAAGAAACGGTCCAATTTGTAATTATAGATAAAAATGCAGTCATCCGTTTGCGAGCTCTATGTTTGTTATGTCGACATAATTCCGGGTCTCTCTCTCTCTCTCTCTCTCTCTCTCTCTCTCTCTCTCTCTCTCTCTCTCTCTCTCTCTCTCTCTCTCTCTCTCTCTCTCTCTCTCTCTCTCTCTCTCTCTCTCTCTCTCTCTCTCTCTCTCTCTCTCTCATTGCTCTGAAACCAAAAACTGAGAAAGATTTTTAAATATAGCCGGTTGTCGTTATAGCCCGTACTAAAATGAAGGCGGTGAAACCAAGTTGCAAGTTGGGAGAATAATGACTGTGTACAAAAAAAAAAGTATCGAGAATGAAACTTTTCTTAACTTATAATTATATTTAAAAAAATAAATAAAATAATATATAACTGTGTTCGAGGTAGAAGCGAAAACTACATGTCTACTGTATATTGTGTAAAAATTTCAAGTTATTCGATTCAGTAGTTTTTACGTAATCGTGTCAACAGTTTAATAAAACGGCGTTCCCAGATAAATGCGTTTAAAGTTTTACGTATACTTTTTCCATACAGATAGTAACAAATTTATTTTATACTTTGAACATTAATGAATACGCTGTGAAAATTTCAAGTCCCTGTTGAATTTGTAAAATTTGTAAAAATAGCCTTAAAAACGGCCTGCTTCGTGTGTAACCCCCCCCTCCCTCTCCCAACTTAATTGCGCAATCTCGTCGGGACAAGAATCAAGGTGAGGCTTACGTGGCGAACATTCGGAAAATCCCCTTTTCGTTTCTTCTCCCTCCAGCTGGCTCCTTGCATCAATCTGCATTTTCCATCCGAATTCGGGCGCAGCGATGACCGGCCGATGCGCCGGCATTATGCGGAATACGTTATCAAAGTGCACCTGACCTCTGACCTCGTTTCCGCGTACTGGCTTAAAGTAGTATGTCGGCCGAGCGCGCCTCGGAATACGAGACGACGCGACGGCGCGTCATGACACGTGTGTGATGTTTTCGTCAATTCCGCCTTCGTTTCTCGCAAAGAGAGAGAGTCGTCGCTCGCGAGTTACGTCACGAGAGGATTCGCGGATCGACGAGGAGCCGCGTATCTGTCCCCCCCCTTCTCTCTCTCTCTCTCTCTCTCTCTCTCTCTCTCTTTGTGGCGGCGATATTCTTATAAATAATTTATTGCGCTCCGCGATAGCGCGGCTCGCGGTTATTAATTAAACGAATCGAGACGATAAGCGCGCGCGGAGAAAGATTTATGGCCGATCATTATCGGGAGAAATCCCCGCGGATTTGTCTCGGTTGTCGTCGAACAGCGCAGGAGGCAGAGATTTCGTTTTTCGCTCGCAATTATCTTCCACCTCGTATCGGACCGTTCCCGCGTAAATAGGCAAGATATGTATACACACGCGCACGTGCGCACACATGAAAACACACGCTCGATTACATCATTGATATCCGAGCGGTCGCTACCGCCGCGCGGTAAAGCTTTGGAAATTATATCGATCGGCGGTATAATCGAGGTTCGGCGCGCGCGCGCACGCGCGTGCGACCAGCTTATTTTGCATTGCATAATCCAACACGTGCGGCCGATTGAACATTAACGTCGCTAATGCGAACAATTTAACGTTTAATTCTCCTTTTACCGCGGAGAGTGCGTTCTCGCGGAGTGGCTGTTATAAAACATGCGCCATTTTCCCGCTCTCTCGATGTTTCCCCGGCACGAATCCGTGGGAGATCAAACTTCGTCTCGCGCGTTAGCGCGAAATTGCAAAATTGCAGCGGAAAAGCCAACGGAGGAGGAGGAGGAGGAGGAGGAGGAGGCGACGCGAATGACAGAAATTCGTCTCAGATTCGAAGCCACTTTTATTTTCACTCTTGCTTCAACACGATATAACAGAATATAATAAATACAATGTAAATATAATAAATACAATATAAATATAATAAATATAATAAACACAATACAAGAGACGTAATACAGATTGAGGTGAGAGCCGGCACTCTCGAATCTCAGACGCGAGTCTTTGCTGAGCCGCCCGAGCGCTAAAACCGACGATGCGGCGCCTAATCAGCATTTATTTCCGGTGCAATTTCCTCTTTGATCCTTTCCAGCGTCCAGCTCGACAGAGACGAGAGGGGGCGAATTTGCCTCCTCGCGGCGAGACAAGCACGTAATATCCGTAAGAATAAATACGAAGAAAAATATGTATTTACGACGAATTTCTGCCAAAGACGTGGCCGACTTGTATGAAATTTTTGCGAAGCACGGGCCATCCTCTCGCCGCTCGATCTCATCTGCATTTAAACAGCTGACCAAGTCCTTCCGTCGCGCGCCGAGCGTCGCCTTTGTTACACTCGACGCTTGGCCGGCGTGGTGTTTATCAAAGAAATGCGTTGCTACGAGCGTGACTCGCGTCATTGCGGCCGCTATTCGTCACTCGTTGC